CATTGAGTTGTTCCACATCATATTTCAGATTCGAAAAGTTAACAGATGACCAAATTAAACAGAATATAACTTGTGGGTTTAGGAAAATGATGTACTGTAGAATACGTATCGGTTAAGAATAATGATGGGTTATAGAACATGCATCAGTTTGGGATGGTGGTGGATGGGACAGTATGTGTCGACATTGATAAGGATGGGAAGTAAAACATGCATCAGTTTGGGAGGCGGGGATGGGACAGTATGTGTCGACATTGATAAGGATGGGAAGTAAAACATGCATCAGTTTGGGAGGCGGTGGATGGGGCAGTATGTGTCGACATTGATAATGATGGGTTATAGAACATGCATCAGTTTGGGAGGCGGGGATGGGACAGTATGTGTCGACATTGATAAGGATGGGAAGTAAAACATGCATCAGTTTGGGAGGCGGTGGATGGGGCAGTATGTGTCGACATTGATAAGGATGGGAAGTAAAACATGCATCAGTTTGGGAGGCGGGGGATTGGACAGTATGTGTCGACATTGATAAGGATGGGAAGTAAAACATGCATCAGTTTGGGAGGCGGTGGATGGGACAGTATGTGTCGACATTGATAAGGATGGGAAGTAAAACATGCATCAGTTTGGGAGGCGGGGGATGGGGAAGTATGTGTCGACATTGATAAGGATGGGAAGTAAAACTTGCATCAGTTTGGGAGGCGGGGGATGGGGAAGTATGTGTCGACATTGATAAGGATGGGAAGTAAAACATGCATCAGTTTGGGAGGCGGGGGATGGGGAAGTATGTGTCGACATTGATAAGGATGGGAAGTAAAACATGCATCAGTTTGGGAGGCGGTGGATGGGGAAGTATGTGTCGACATTGATAAGGATGGGAAGTAAAACATGCATCAGTTTGGGAGGCGGTGGATGGGACAGTATATGTCAACATTGATAAGGATGGGAAGTAAAACATGCATCAGTTTGGGAGGCGGTGGATGGGACAGTATGTGTCGACATTGATAAGGATGGGAAGTAAAACAAGCATCATTTAGGGAGGCGGTGGATGGGACAGTATGTGTCGACATTGATAAGGATGGGAAGTAAAACATGCATCAGTTTGGGAGGCGGTGGATGGGACAGTATGTGTCGACATTGATAAGGATGGGAAGTAAAACATGCATCAGTTTGGGAGGCGGGGGATGGGACAGTATGTGTCGACATTGATAAGGATGGGAAGAATAACATGCATCAGTTTGGGAGGCGATGGATGGGACAGTATGTGTCGACATTGATAAGGATGGGAAGTAAAACATGCATCAGTTTGGGAGGCGATGGATGGGACAGTATGTGTCGACATTGATAAGGATGGGAAGTAAAACATGCATCAGTTTGGGAGGCGGTGGATGGGGCAGTATGTGTCGACATTGATAATATGTGATGGTGTGGGATATCAATGGACATTAGAACATATATCGTTGTTATAACGATGGATGGGAGAGTATGTATCGACATGGGATAACAATGGCTGGAATATTATTGGAGTGGGATAATGATGGGAAGCAGAATGTGCATCGATGTTGGATAATGGTGGCTTGTAAAACATGTGTTGGCGTGGGATAACGATGGATATTGGAATATTATTGGAGTGGGATAACGAAGGGTAGCAGAACATGTATTGGGGTCGACAACGATGGATAGTAGAATATGCAATAGTGTGGGATACCGGTGCTAATTAAAATGTGTGTGGGTGTGGGATAACGATTGATGAAAGGGTATGCATGAACTTGGGAAAGCGATGGATAGTGGAGTATGTATTGGAGTGAGATAACGACGGGTGTTTGAATATGTATTATTGTAGGATAATAATGGATGGGAGAGTATGTATCGACGTAGTACAGAAAACAAAGTGAAGTCGAATGGTTCAATCTCCTTTTTAAACAAAGTTATTATTACTTCCAATTTGGATCATGTCTTACTGCATTTGAACATCAAATCAGAAAGTCCCATGGTTCTAGCTCAGTTTGGAGGGAAGTAATTGGTGCTTGCGGTTTAAAAAATATTGTTTCCTGCATTACAACTAAATGACATAAAAAATCCTGTCACTGTAAGTTAATTTAGTTTGTAGTCTTGGATGACGGACAAAATCATTGGATTATACTAACGCTTCTTTCAATGTGCTTACTCGGCATCTATTGTAGTGATTCGTAAACACACGCTCATGATATAGTCGGAATCGTACATTTGACTCTGCATTTGGCAGAGATTTCTTATGAAAAGGGGAAAGGTTTTGTCGCTTTTGTTTATTTCACGTAGTAAATCCTGAAAATCAGTCATGTCCACCAAGCGGCGTCACTTTCTCCATGCATCCCAAAAAGGAAAACGATGCAACATATGAGACAAAAATAGATCAGAAGTAGAATCTCATATGGCCGTAACCATCTCCTCCTCAACAGGCGTATCGTCAACCATCGTCCACTAAAGTATTCACGGAAATGAAAAAAACCCTGTTTTTTCGACCTCAAAAACTTAAATAAATGCAGTTATTATAAAAAATATGTAATTATACGAACAACTAAATTAGAACTAATTGGGCCTTGGCACAAATACAGCGTATCAAATGTTTTTATGCCTTTTTACACGTAAAAGTGTGTAAAAATGTGAATAAAACAGACTATTGTGAAACAGGGCATAACCAGGTGTAAGTTGATCAAGGTGACCTATGACACCTTGACGACAGGTGAGAACAGGTGCATAATGCCTATAGTCTGTTTCTGCTATGTTAATTTGGACTTAGTTTTATTTTTGAATGTTGAAAGTGCCGACAAATTACATCCTGTAAAGTACATTTTGTAATGTTCACTGAGATCAAACAAGCAAATCCAGACTAGTACTTTTCGAGTTGTTTTGTTATTTCGTATTTACAGCTACGTAACACTTTGTGTCGATTTTTAAATTGAGAAAAAGAGTTTTTTTTCATTTCCGTGAGTACTTTAGTAATACATCAGCTCCTTCACCTCCATCTCTGGAGTCCTTCAGGACTTCTGTGGACGTCCGCCTGAGCCTCAGGCAATATACGTCTGACCTGGGTAAGGTCCCTCCTTGAAGACACCACAGAGGTAGTCATCTGTTTTGTGATCACCACAGACCACTGAAGGATGGTGACCTGCAAGTAGCTCCGCCGGGTGTCCCCCTCTCCTTCACTCCTGTGCTGGTGTACACCCGGGCACAACATTCTACATATGCTGGCATTGATCTAATTTACAGAAATCTGCCTACTGCCCTCACCTCACGGACATGCAACAGATCTCCCTGCTTAGAGGGTTCTCCTTGTCTCTCTTAGGGGTGGTTCTTGGGTTGCTCGAGGTTGCAGAAACGAAGGGGAGGTGTGTCTGTGTGTGTGTGTGTGTGTGTGTGTGTGTGTGTGGAGAATCTGAAAGTACACGAGGAGTTCAGTTTTGCAGGGTACAAAATTTAGCATTGTCGCGTCCAAGATTTTTGCACCTATATAGCGACGCGCATACACGTGTGTGTGTATGTGTGGCTGCTTGTACTAGTGCCGATTTATAGTGCTAGCACACTGAGATAACATGCCACTGTTTAACATGAATACCCCACTCAGACACAGTATACTGACTCCGAGCCGACCAGTCCTTGTTTTAGACCCTTAATGCCGAGCGCAGACAGGGTAACAACAAGTACCAATAACGTGTTTTGGTATGACGCGGCTGGGGATCGAACCCCGGACCTTCCGCTCTCCGGGCGGACGCTCTACCACTAGACCACGGAGGCGGTGTATCGCAATGAATGTATATATCACAGTTATAATGCAACCTTGTCCTTTCTCTCATTTGTTAAAGAGACGGAATAACTCTTTGAAATCTGGCATAATTTGTTATTTTTCAGGGCTGAAATGTTCTTAATGATATCGTACATCGAAATTATATCATGATGTGTGTGTGTGTATAGATTACTCATCATAAATAGGGATGGTTGCTATGACGACAAGCAGAGGCAACTCACGGGATTGGGCGGTCAAGGTAGCTGACTTGGTTGATGCATGATATCGTCTCCCATTTGCGTCGATCGATGCTCATAACATCAATCACTGGATTGTCTGGTCCAGACTCGGTTATTTACAGACTGCTGTCATATAGCTGGGATATTCTTTGAGCGGCGTTAAACAACATAAAAAACAAGCCATTTTAATTGCTGTGCAGTATTTTGTATTAATTTGTAAACCTAGTTATTTTTGCAATACAATTGTTGATTGTATACCATTTGTTTTTTGTTTGTTGGTTTCACACTAGGTTCTTTTACGTACAGATTTCTGGGTTATCATCTTGTTTCGATTTGGTAATCGACACATTACATAAGCTTTGTTACCTCAAACCAGTTTTTCACAGCTTCACAATAAAACCACTTTCGTATGGTCAATTTGTAGCTAACACGACACATGTTTAATACTCACACGACATAGAGAAAGTACAATTGTACAATGCTTTCATTTGTTATTAATTCTAGATGAAAGACATGGACATATACTGCAAATCATGAACCTAATGCGTCACCAATTTCATCGCTTGTGAATGTGTCACGTTGGGCCTTGCATAGCTTGGCTGTAATTTTCTTAAAGAATCGTACTTGAATACGTCAAAATGATAACGTCACATACTCTTCATAAAATTTAGGGGATACTCAGAAATAGCTTAAAATATCCAAAACTTCTTGAAACATTTTATCCTTTAAAGGTTGTATGATAATAATGAACCAATTGGGAACATATTACAACAGGGAGTGAAGTACGACAGCAGATGTTATGACCCCAAACTTGAAGGACGATAGGTGTAAGATGAGAAATTCGGAGTTGACATTTTTATCAGTAGTGCGTAATACCGCCACTTTGTGCAAACACAACAAGCAATGAGATAGAATGCAAAAATATTTAATATACATGATAACAAACACATACATATAATGGTTTTGGCACGAACTTGGGAGCTGACTCATTCTTATCACAGACGAGGGCAGACCGAGAGCTAGGTGCTGTCCTGGAGCCGCTAAGAGGCTCGGACAGTGGTCTGCGGACCGGGGCTGCGACCTGAGCTCTGGTTTAGACTTGGGGGAGAAAAGGACACTCTAGATGAGTGGAAATAGCCTGGCCAATGAAAGGCCAATCAGTCAGCCCCCGATAATAAAAGGCAAAATTGAAAAACTGTACATATTTACAAAGCAGCAGCAAATTGGTACAAAGGTGAGGACCTAAGCCGGTGAAGATAGGGTGGGCTGGCGGGTATGGCAATTTTTGAAGCGAGTGTTGTCGTCCTTCTAGCTTTGGGAGAGGAATGGAGAGACACGGGGCTTATGGGTAAAAAGGCTCCCGTGCGCATGCGCAGAGGGGGAATTTGAAACCTTACGAGGGATAGTTGTAGCGTAACAAAACACGTACATGAGAATAAATTTTATAATACACTGGACATGCATATGGTAAGTAGAAAACAAAATACGTTGAATTTGCACAAACCACAATATTAAATTATCATTATTTGTCAAACATTCATTCACTCCACGAGGCATACAACGTATCAGTCTCACAATGGCGATTTGAGAGAGTCCAACTCTGAGGCAGCACCTGGCCAAGTTCAGCCAACATGGTCGTCGGCCTAAGACGTTGACGCACTCGTCACAGCCTATCATGTCCCAGACAGACTTATGAAGAGCCAGGTACGAATAGGTCTTCAGCAACCCATGCTTGCTGTAAAAGGCGACTATGCTTGTTGTAAGAGGAGAATAACGGGAACTGGTGGTCAGGCTCGCTGACTTGGTTGATGCATGTCGTCGATCCCAACTGCATGTATCGATGCTCATGATATTAACCACTGGATTGTCTTGTCCAGACTCGATTAGTTACCGTCATGTAGCTGGAATATTGCTGAGTGCGGCGTCAAACACCAACCAACCAACTAACCATGTCCCAGGGAAAGTTCTGGGCTCATTTCTGACCATGTCATTTTATGGATGTTGTGCTGCTGGAGGTGATCATTGACGATTTGTACACCGTGAGCACGGGCGCTGTCGTCCTGATAGACAAAACGTTGACCCACATGCCTTGCAAACGGACAACAAAGGGAGTCAGTGTGTTGTTCTGATAGCACTGTCCACTGACCCTTCCTTGCACAATATGGAGTGGGGTTCGGTCAGTCATAGTGACGTCATCCACACCGACCCATCGCCAAATCTGTCATGAGGTCTCGCTTGACGTTCATTTCGACGTCGCCAGACACGACCACACCTATCAATGACGTGCAAAATGAATCGGGACTCTTCTGAAAACATGACACGTGACCAGCGACGATTGCACCAGTTTCGAAGTAGCATAAACCATTGACGCCTGTGACGATTTATAAGGGGTGGCACAACAGGCAGCCGTCGAGAATCGGGATGAGCTGTATGTAGACGATGTCTAATCTTACTCGAACTCCAGTACACTGGTGACAGTTTGCAGCAATTTGATTCGCCGTATGAGCTCGATTTGGTAGAGCCTGGTTTCGGATCCTACACTGCTGTCGTTGACCTGGGACGCCCTGAACGGGGTCGATCGTCAACATTTGGGGTTTGTTTGTACCTGTTCAATAGTCTGCCATGCAGACTGACTTCTGCAAGTTTCAAGTTTCAATAGACCGTAGACGCTCAGCGCGTTACAGGCGCCGCATCGCTAGTTTACACACAAACAATGCATGCAATCCAGTGGTAAACCACAACTGTATGATAAGCAGAAAACAGATATAATGGTCCAATGAGATTAATCGACCTTCCTCCAAAGAGTCAAAAGCGTTTATGGCGCTTGAGTTCGGCACGTGAATCTGTCGGATGTGTTTGTTGTTACGTTTCACAAACGTTCGTCAAAACTTATCTTCGATCTAAGAATTTGTATTAATATTTATTGTTCACGATCCCCTACTTTTGCTCAAGTGCATAGTTACTCGTGAATGATAGGAAGGGGTGTTGGGACGACAAACATGTACAAGTGGCGTTCCATTTAAGCTTTTTTACAACTTGAATATGAAACCACTTTGGTCTGACGGTTTATTGCCAACAGCAAACATACACGTCTCTCACTCGTACATACTGTGTAACACCTGTGATCTAGGTAATAAATAGCATCTAATAAAATCACACGCCAACATGAGAATATGTCAAATCGATGTGATACTCGTCTACTATTATCAGATATTTTACGCCACACAAACTGTTTCCTTTATTGGAATCTCCTGAGCCAGGTAATTCTCCCTCTTATACCGTGATTCGTACACTAAGACAAATTAACAAGGCTTCTGTAAACAGCAAGAAACCAAAGTGACATCGCCGACTATCTTAGAATTTTCACTGACATCTCTGGTGGTTAATCTTTTGAAGAATAGTTTTACTACAATTGCTCATGAGACGTGAAGATGATCTTGAGGAACAACCCTATTTTTTTCTTGACACTCGTCAACGGTCTGGAATAAGACGAAGTTCAGAATATATCAATCAAACTAAAAGTTTTTGTCCCTATAGAAATAGGAATCTAATCAGTGCTAAACCTCATTTAATGTCTACACACATGTACGGTTGGCATAACGAGTGAGTGAGTGAATGTGGTTTTACGCCTCTTTTAGCAATATCCCAGCAATATCGCGGCGAGGGAGACCAGAAATGGGTTTCACAACAAATTGTTCCACATCATGGGGAATCGAACCCTGGTCTTAGGCGTGACGAGCGAAACGTTTTAACCACTAGGCTACCCAACCGCCCGCTGGCATAACGAACTTGGAATAGTTGGATGATCGTTTAGTTTGTATTTTAACTCAGCAGAGTGATATATCGATTTTATGTCTCCTGCGGTGTAACAGTTAAATTTAATATCAGATACTCAACATCATATTGCTTTATATACACACACATGCACTTCGCGAAGTCTTCCTGTGACTTAGCAACGCTCAAATAGAGCTTCACACTTTCAATAGTGCTTTCGATCCCATATTAACTGTTGAACACAGCGAATTATGTTTGTGGAGTCAGCTGACCAAAACCTCCAAACACCCAATCATCCGTCAACAGTTAACATTCAAAACGTCCCAGCCCCACCCCCTAGTGTATGGCAGAGGTCAATCCAATACAGCCGGTCGGGTTACCCAGATCAACGGGACCGCAAGGTGGTTGGCCGGCTGAAATCTGTCCTGTGAAAGGACCCTGGATAAATCATGTCAGCCGGTTATGAGTTACTGTCACTGATCAACTGATGTGAATTTAGATCATCAATACTGTTACTCGAAATCTGAATTTGCCAGGGAGAAATGTTCAATGGAAACCGGCTACGTGGGACGACCCCATAAAGCACGAATAGGGGACAAGCCACATATGAAGATGCTAAACTAGGTTGTCAAATACAATGACTCATGCGTCTTTCTCAGTTAAATACATGTATATGTTCTATTTTATGTAAATAACATCGAACATGATTCGCCTTTCTCTTCCAGCTCAACCCGGTTCTTATTCCAGATAAGAAACATGTCAGCTACCAGATAAGAAATAAACGCAAAGTGAAACGAGTACAGACATACACGGCATGCAGTGCTTGATGTGACCTGTACACGGAACATGAGGGTGATTATCAAGTATCAAGTGTGTATTTGTCACAGCAATCATATATTTTAGTTGACATTCTCGATTATCTACACAGCAGAAGTGAGTCCTTCGAAGTGAAACTGATTTATTACGAGGACTTACGATACGAGGTCCAGTCATTAACTGCCACAAACTTTAACTGTAAAGATCAACACTGTGTGGACACGCGGCTTAAAATTATTCTTCTATCAGACAAAATGTTTCACCAAACTTATTGTGTATATTATTAATATTAGAATTGAAACTTAAGCTGACATTAAAAGGGATTTCCGGGGTATTTACATTTTATGGTCCTGAGATGAATAGCTGTAATAAACTAACAAAAACAGTATAATGCAAAATCGTTTTTTTTGTAATTACGTACGAGTGCATGAAATCTTTCTGTGCAAGCATAACTGTTTAAAGAAGCACAAATTAATTTGAATATATCACAGTTCGTGTGTGACCAATAATTGTGTGAGTTGTGCATTCAGTTGCATTCATATCTTGCCATCATGTAAGTTAACTTTCCCGTGTCATGTACTTATTAAGCGTCACGTAATATGCATATGGGGATGGGAATTCAAAACGTGGACGCTAGATAATATTCAGTCTCCTTAAATGAAAAATAGCAAGTCTGGGTTTGTTTGTTTGTCTGTTTGTTGCCTAACGACGCACCTTGCAGTGAAGAGGATCTAAAATTGGAACGCCATATATGTGTCAAGGAATGGCGGGTAGCGAGCAAAACAAACATGATCGTCATAAAATGTTGTTCGGTGTACTTCATACTGCCCAATGTGTTGCAAACATGTCAAACTTATAATTACATGTTAGTCTAGTCCCTCTCTTGGGAGACATTATTTACGCACCAAACTGGTAGAATGTTTTATGGATTATATGATAAGGGACAAACGACATGTGTTTATGGCATAGATAAGCCTAGAGGTTTGTTGGAAGGTGCAAGACACTGGGCTGTGGGTGCAACTAAACTAATACCAGTGAGATCGGCTCACATCCAGGAAAAGAGAGACAGAATTATTCAAAATGTGATGTGGGTGAGTATTGTTTAGATAACGTCGATGCTTCGCATTGTGACATCAATGATTTTCAGGATCCATGCATATCGTGTTCTTCACAGTTTGGCTTTATTTGTTCATGCAAATTATCTGCAAGAATTGCAGGACATTCTTAACCTTTTCTTCAACACCTGGTGTTATCACTGATTCTGAAGGATCATGTCCATCACTGTTTAGCCTTATTTTGTGTCTGTTTCGGCGCAGCATCGTATGTAATCCTCGAAGGGACATTGTCGCGTGGTCGCCACTACAAAAACTAGCGAAAAGTGTGAAATTAGCCAAAGCGCGACAATGCCACAACGCGACATTTTGGCCATTTGTCGCACTGTCGCGCTGTGAATAATATTTTTTATTTTACCAAAGGGCGACAATGGGACAACGCGACATTTTTCAAGGTCAAAATATGTCGCGTTGTCGCATTGTCGCATTAAAAAATGTTTAAAAAAGGCGTTAAAATGCGCGATAACGGACATATTGGTTTCAAATAATGTTGTGCATGTGCTGTAAGTGAATTATACTCCTTTTCAATCGCTAGTGGTCTTTTGTCAGCTCCAACTGATCTAAAACCAAAACTAGCAATGGCAATTCTCAAAAAATTAACAAATTTGTCATGTTTGCTTTAGAAATAAGTTCATATATAATTATTGTCTGTGTTGGTTTCCATGAACCAAACGTGTTTTCACAGCAAGAAACAATCACTTTCAACTTCTATTTAATTTATTTCCGGTATCCGATATCTTTTCAAATCAATGAGGGCACACGGTTGACCCTATCGTTTTAGACGTACCAGAAAAAGACTGTGATCCTTGGTTACAATCCCAGCACCATACACATACATCACTAAGGGATTTCCTCCCACATCAAGCTGACACACTGTGAAATAACTGAAATTTTGTTCAAAGCGGCGCTAAACTACAGGTCACGTTAGTAACGGGAAGTCCTTGGATGGGTGACCTTGTTCGGCAGTATCTAGGATCTCGGTCCAGCCCCACACTGAAGCACCTGAAAAAACATTTTGTTTCTCCTTGGACAAGTGACTTTGTCTTAGATATGCCACTGTTCAGCCAGCAATCGCTCAAATCGATAAAATTCACTGTGCAGATTGGGCGACGGTGCCAGAAACCGTGTTCGTCCTGCCTATGTTTCTTGTTTTGGACCTACATCACTTTCGGCTTTCCTCCCAAATCAAGCTGACACGCCGTGACATAACTGAAATACTGTTCAAAGCGGCGTTAAACACTACTCACGCACTCACTTATGACATCCCTCTTGACGAAACGACGCTAAGAGAGCTTGGTAAATTAGGAGCGAATTTCACAATAATGTGTTTGTGATGTCTTTATTTGAATCATATATAGTGGGGATGTCACAATACGACTTTTTCTCGATACGATACGTATCGCGATACTTTATTCACGATACGAGACATATAGCGATACTTAAGTCGTGGCAATTTTGCATACTTTTATATATTTAATAAAACATAAACACTATTAAAAAGGTTTGAAACTTCCTGAATGTCTGGTCTCATATCTGAAATAAAAATGTCTCATTTTAATCAATAGTTTATTTCTGATAAAACTGGAGTGGCAACATAATTATGTTTTATTTTTAACGACAATAATAAAACCCCTGTTAGCGAAATATCTCAGATGCGCAACCCAGATGACATCCCTAGGAGTTTGACCGATGGAGTTTGAAAAGGAGTATAACTATTTACACGCATTGTACATGAATTCACTTACTACACAGGCGCACCATTTATCGAAAAGCGCAACAATGCGACATTACCAATATGTCGCATTGTCGCGCATTTAAACGCCTTTTTTACACATTTTTTATGGGGCAACAATGACCTTAAAAAATGTAGATTTCTTATGGATTTGGTTCGTCGCGTGGCGAATGCTTGTTTTTTTATGCAAACTGTTACGGTGATTGGTGATCATTCTCTGCTATTGCACAAGATCAGACTAATGAACAAATCCTTGACCTGGTGAAAGGAGATGGAGGTGAAACCGAAATGGTTTGACTGAAATGGACTTGTAGATGCCCCCTTAAATCGAAGCCATTGTCACAATTTCATGGGCCACTGATGATATCTCTGACAACAAAATGCAGCTTCTTGTGCGGTTTGTCGTTCTCATGTACCACAGAACCAGTTAATTTGGAGTGAGTGAGTATGGTTTTACGCAGCTTTTAGCCAATATTCCAGCATTTGACGACAGGGGCACCAGAAATTTGCTTTACACATTGTACCCAAATGGGGAATCGAACCCGGTTTTTCGGCGTGACTAGCGAATGCTTTAACCACCAGGCTACCCCACCACCCTGGTTAATCTGGAAGATCAATGAAGCAAGGCAAAATCTCTTTTCATAAAGATCTCACGACACTCTACCCATTCAGGTAGCTATAAATCAGCACACAGTACGTGCACCTTATCAGGGGAGACATGTACATGTATGAGGACAGGTGCTTGATAAACGCCCCACACTACCTAATCCTGCAGACAGGCGTTGGAAGAGGAGCCTTTCTCAGTTTTTTTTATAGCGGGTCTTAAGTGCTCTGCTCTGTGCAGCTGTGAAGTAAAGTGTTCCCTTTAAACACATGCATTGAACTGACATTCCTCGTCATACGTAACTTTAAGAAAGTTGACATCAGAGATTCAAGCAAAAGTGGCAATATGACTTAAACATACATTCCAGTTTTAAGTTATGAATTAGGTTCACGATTAGGGGTGATTTTCGGGTGATCTTAAATAATGGATACAGTTCATTTGCAATGCATAAATGAAAAGATGCATTCATTATATTTATAATTTATAATGACAATCTAAGCTTGTTATAAGTTTTTAAATTTTATTTATATATCCAATATATTCACAAATAAACAAAGGACTTGAATACAATATCAAGCTATTTGTATTTAGATGATGTAATTATTTTTTATCTGTAATAATTCTGTAACACATTTGAAAGTGACACTAATTTTCGTTCACAAAGGGAGGTAATTTAGGAATTGTCAAGTTACAATTCAAGACACTGTATGTTGTCTCATGAAACACGCCACAAGTTACATACATATAATGTGTCACTTTCTATCCTTTTAAGTTAAGTAGAGATAATAAATTGATTTCTTTGATTTGATCTGGCCTAGAAGCAAAATAACTACATTGTAAATGTGTGAAATCTATTCCCGAACGTAGTTCGATGAAGTTTGACTTGTCGGACAGCATTGCAGAGAGTGGTTTACTGGTATTTCTCCGGTGACCCTATTCTTTACGGTGATTTTATTGTATCTATATTTTAGTTATATAAAACGGGTAAATGTACACTTACATTTTAGAAAGACCATCATCAATTACTATTTTAAAATCGGTCCATTGAATGCAAAATTCAAAGATAAATGTGGTGAAAATGTCTATCAGTAATCAGTAAATATCATTCAATAAACAGTTTCTGTGAAAATATATTGGAGAGTAAATTTTGGACAATTTCGAAAATACGCTACTTTGTGACGACATTTTAAACCCAAACGAGCATGGGAACCCATCTTTTATTTAATTTTTCAAATTGCCATTCCTCGAAAATACGCTAAGAAAACTTGTGCTTAACTTTTGCTGTCAAAATTTCCATAAATTGCTATAGAATGCAATTGTTCAACAGACAATATCTAATCACTCATTATCCAAAATTTGTCTTTCAATATTATAGATAGCCTACGTGTTGTTTTTAAAACGAAACAAAATACAATTTCTTTTTTCCAGAAAAAGATTAAATATACTCTTTATAAGAATATACTATAGATATAATATCTTCGATTTTCGACAATCTTAGGATATCTTAGGGCTACGATAGTTTCGAAAATAGGCTACGATAGTCTACGATTTCCTTACGATAACTTTACGATAATTTAAGGGCCAGAATAGCAGTGCAATTTATATGATTGGATCATTGAATATCAGGGATGACGCCAGGTTTTGCCCCACGTCAAGATAATCCCAACGGTGGTTTATTATTCTGTCGTGATATTCAACAAAAGAAATTCAAAAGTATACACGCTGGTCAAATTTACAGTTTATAACGAAACACTTTCAAGAGAATAACAAACTGCAAGAAGCGATATTAACTCCATCAACAATCATTTGTCATTATTTTGCCTTGTCAATGTTGAACTAAACAGTTTGTATACAGGCTAAACACTTACGATAAAGGGAGATAACAATAGTTCCGTCAAAGTGTTATGTTCACTGCAATGAAAATATCACTTTGCTCAACTTGAGAAAAAGCAGTCGTTCACACAGAATTATATAAATTTCAACAATTTCTTTCTCGACATACATTTGAGATTTGAAACAATTCGATATTGATAAATTTGAAAAACATATTTAAGCCTCAAAGCAGTATCGCTATTGACGTTGCTGACCATGCAAAAAAGCACAAATAACAGAAAGTTTTAGCCGTAGCCCATTGACTAATGACCGATCTTATTGACTAAGCGTGTAACTAGACCTTACCGTACCTGTTCAGTTAAATTGAATAAAAGTATTAAAAAATGATTGATTACTGCATGTTATAATACAGGAATTGCTTTGTAGTGAAATCCTTTGTTGTGGACATTACACGATATCATAGAGATATAATATATACACAAACACGAATCAACTGAGCAAATTTTGTGACTTTGGCAAGTCAGTAAAATAAGGACTTAACGGATTTAAATACCCAAAACGTGATGCCTGGTGACCATGAACGGTCACATCCTTCTTATCACAGTATTATTACCACAACAGTTATTACTGATGATGACATGTTATAATTCATTCTCTCTCATGACATATAAGAATGCTTAATTCTGATTGGTTAAAAAGAGGTAATACGGTAGTTTGATACCAGATGGTTTGGCGACGGTATGATGTTCTAGGCCTTAACCCCGACTGCTTCGATGATGAGTTGACAAGCCTTAACGAAGACAGATATTTTGCCATCAAACGATAATGTTTATGAAACTGATAGGGACATGTTCGATGTCCAACAAACTCGGAACAGGCAATTTCCTTATTGAAACAAGCGACAATAAAAGTAAAATAAAGCATCATTGAAAAGTGTTATTTATTCTTTATTTACAACTTTATTCCCAATTGGTACCAGATTGTTCACGATAGTTTTGGCCATATTTGAATAACTGTTGAAGGTTGTTATTGTCAACAATAGAGAAGTCACCAATCGTGGCAGCCACAGGTCGTGGAATTTACATAAGCTGAAAAATCCATGTTCTGCAACAAATTGATAGCTTAATCATGCTCGTTTTTGAAAAAGGTCTCTTGAAATTCGAAACAACAGTGAGTGAGTTGGATTTAACGCCGCTTTCAACAGTATTTCAGTTATATCGCGGCGTGTCAACTTAATGTGTAGGGAAAGCCCGAAGTGATGCAGGTCTCAGACGTTTGCCCCGTCGGTGAACCTCACGAGCACGGGTATGGTGCTGACAAACCGAGAAACATAATCAGGGAAAGGCGGGATTCGAACCCACAATCATAGGTTTCTGGCGTGCCAAAGGGACGCAACTCTGCTTAGCGAATCGCGGCGCCTTAGACGACTGGGCCACCCGTGCCCCCTCGAAATAACAGCATGTGTCATTTTCTATATGATTATTTTGTACTTTACCATGTCATACGTAACAAAATGTGAACTGTAAGAAAGAACAATGGCTTGTTGTCGGCCATATTAACTATTTCTGACCAGTGACGAGTAATGCATGACGTCATACATCGCCACAGCTCAAAAATCAAAGCCACGTGATCAAGGCTCAAGATTAGAATGGCACTTACAGTTCTGTTACAGTGTGACGTAAATGATTCCATGAATATAGTTGATCATATGAGTGAGTGAGTGAGGGAGCGAGTTAATATTTAAAGTCACATGCGCAATATTTCAGCCATATTGTGACTAAATCAAGTTATATATTAATACATATAGACATTGAAATCTGTCGACAAGGGACAGTAAAAGTACTAGACTATCACAGATGTATCATATGAGTGAATAATGTTTAACACTTAAATAATATTGACACAGTTATCATTTCTAGAAGGGGATCTAGAACTGATCAGACCATTGGTGGCTTACGCCAGTGACAGTGAGAAACATGGCTCAGACATTAAGCGTGTTTGTATAAATCATTATAAAATTACCATTTTTTAAGCGTGGTTTAGAATGTGTCTACATCATGTGATAACGTAAAACTGTTTGCAGTGCCAGTTATATTTAACATGTGGACTCCTCTGAAATGTAAAGAATAATAGGCATCACTTTCTCCTTGTTTTAAACATTCTGTGAACGTATTAACTTTCTCCAGAGGTTAGCCATGATAGTCACGCATCAAAGTATGGGAATGGAAACTCGACTTTCTTTCGCTCAACCTATTGTTAGAATTTGACTGAACTATATTGTAGTTTTGTTTTTAAATGTATGAGAGGGAATGTTTTCTGACGCCTGTCTATGTGAAGGCAGCCTGTAAATAATCAAGACCTGATCAGATATACCAGACATTGTTATAATGAGCAACACCCAACACCGCCAGGTATGATGACAAACAATGAAGCAAGCCTTACAAGAATAGTCCTACAAGTACCTTTAACTATTCTAACCCTACAGGTGTATAGAGGTCATTCATCACAGCCCGAATGTGCGGTGTTCTGTATTCCATACCCATAACTTGTAACTTGAGGTAAAGTAGTGTGTCTATACAAATCTTGTTGAATGTCAAAATCAAGTTAAAAACCAAATGCCACTTTTGCATATTGTATTTAGGTACCTTCCTATCTCCCAATAACCTCTTTGGGTGTTTTACCTTTTCCTAGTTAGACCTAGTATGATGTTTTACTCTTTGCTAGTAAGACCTGGTGAGTTGAGTAGCATATAGAATTTGGACATTATGTTTCAAACGTCCGATGTTCTGAAATCGATGACAAGAAATTAAACGTTTTCATTATGGATGACTGGAATCGAACCTGCAATCTCACATCTCACCAGGGTAGGTGATGAGAGGTTGTTCAATATTAGATGTCATGACTTAGTTTTGTCTATACTACACGTATTTCTTTCTCTCGCACTCTTTGATCACATTCCTTTTATACCGCGACACACTGTATTGTTTCACTATAAGATATCGCGTTTATTCTTATATTTTTGTTATATATTTTCATTTAGATATTTTATGAGAACCTAGGCAATCGGGTTTTGGCAATTGCCGATACCCTTTTGCCTCGGTCTTACTTCCTTGACTGTTACGTCGGAGTCTTGCTTTTTCCTTCACATAAACGTACAGTAAACTTCGGTTATAGCGAACTCAAAGGGACCACTAATTTTAGTTCGTAATAACCGTAGTTCGTTATAAGCATATATACAGCATATATACAACAAATGGCCGGGACTAAAAAATAAGTTCGTTATATTGGTCAGTCCGTTATAAGCGTGTTCGTTATAAACTTAAACTGTAAATCCACCCACTAAAATATATGCATTTGACGTTTTGTTCACTATTTCAGGACCTGATACGGCGAAACAACACAATGCACAACGATGAACGGTGCTGCGTATGGTGAGTCTGATAATATAAAATTGTTTGATAATTAAAGTGACAAACAAAGAAAACTTCTCATATGTTCTTTTGGCATTCCTATTTGCCACTTGGTAACACGCACCAACACATATATATTGTTATAAGTTGGTTGTCCAAATGGCCTACAGGTAGCACCTGTCGTGAGTTGACTGCAGCCTTATGTCCATGCGGCCTACCGGTAGCAGTTGTAGTGAGCTGTCTGCAACCTTGTATCTAATTTGCTTACCATTATCTGTTGTCATGAGTTGACTGCAACCTTGTGTTCATATGGCCTTCCAGTAACAGTTGTCATGAGTTGACTGCAACCTTGTGTCCATGTTGCCTACCAATAGCAGTTGTCGTGAGTTGACTGCAACCTTGTATCTGTATTGCTTGCCAGAAGCAGTTGTCATGAGTTGATTGCAACCTTGTGTCCATGCTGCCTACCAATAGCAGTTGTCGTGAGTTGACTGCAGCCTGGTGTCCATGTGGTCTTCCGGCAGCAGTTTTCGTAAGTTGACTGTAGCCTGGTGTCCATGTGGCCTTCCGGAAGCAGTTGTCTTGAATTGACTGCAGCCTGGTGTCGATGTGGCCTTCCGGAAGCAGTTGACTGTAGCCTGGTGTCCATGTGGCCTTCCGGAAGCAGTTGTCTTGAATTGACTGCACAGCAAAAAAAAGTGTAGGTTTCCGTCTTCCGGAAACCTTCCGGAAACCTTCCGGATACCTACCCATTTTGGATCCGGCCCGGATACCTTCCGGAAACCTTCCGGAAACCTTCCAAAAAAAATGTCAAAATTATGTGAAATTATGTGAAACACATAAAAAAATTAACTTGAAAATACCAAGCAATTTGAAGGTTGTTGAAGGCATCTGGAAGGTTTCCGGAAGGTTTCCGGAAGGTATCCGGATGCAAATTTTCTTCATGACTTGCTTCTGGTAAATAATGTTAGCCTGTGCATTACAGATACCTGTTGTAATATTCTGTGTTATTTTAGTTGTAAATATCCTCCTCAAACTGAGATATGTGGGCATGCATTGTTCACAAGTTGTTTTGCGACATGGGTCCAATGTGTGAAGCTAATTGCTGGTGTCCCCCACCATGATATTTTTGCAATATTGCTAAAAGTGGCAAAACAGCATTCTCACTCAGAAAAAAATGGAAAGTCATTGACTATGTGCTTTGGCATTTGGCCCTGGTGAGATAAACAGATTAGTTTGGAACGGTATCAGTACTTATATCGGGACAGTGTAGTATCATGGGAATATAAAACAGAATACAATTGTCCCAAATTGGTGCATAAGACTAATGGCATCCATAGAAAGCGCCTAAAAGTACAGAAAAAATATCAATGTCATTTGTCTACTAAGGTGGAACTACAACTGTTGTTAAAAGTGAGCTGTATTTATAGTAGGAAAACATTCAGGGCATAAGTACATTTTATATTTGTTCAGCACCTATGTTATGGCTGATCAGTATTATATTTCTTTATGCTAATGAAGCAAAACAAATCATGTTTTTGGAAAAAAATCTTATTTATTGATTATATGGCATTTCATTGGTACATATCACAAATTGAAATTTGATCAAGCAAGAAGAGGAACTAGCATAAAGTAACCAGTGCCATTTTCTAAATAAACAAATTAGTCAAATCTCAGAAGAATTTTATTGAAGAAGAATATCTAGAAGAATAACAAACTGGACATAGTCACAGTGCTTTGGCATAAATTCATTCAGACTTCATTAGTGTCATAATAAAACCACCTACAGTAACACTGGTGTGGCATTATTCATTCAGAATCATCACTTTCTGAGGTGAATCTGTTGATTGTTATCAGGAGTACTGTTCATCATCCGGCGAGTCCCTTGTCTGAATTGTGTGAGCAAGATCTTCCAAAATGTAGCTGGTGTCAGATTGTGAAATCCAGGTACCTGAAACATTTCATAACATCTTTAGAAACTTGTTAGTCAAAAGTTATGAAACACACACATATTTACAAATGTTTAAAGTTGTTTTCTCGAACAGTGAGGTATTGACAATTTATCTTGCAACTGATATTTAACCAATCTTTGAACATGTAAATAAGCCATTGCAAACAGAAAAGTGTTCAGAAAATACAAAAATGTATCCGGTCTTCTAAAACAATACCACAAGGTTCACCTGAATTTTGCTTGAATGTTTGCATTACATCAAAATGTAAGGAAGGGTAAACAAGACTATGCAAAACTAAGTTACATAGGTTCTTATACATAAATACATAAATGCAACTATTCATAATTATCAAAACACATGTCATGTAAGTGATCTCAAAATACAACATAATGAGCGAGTGAGTTGGTATAGTTTCATGCAGCTTGTTAGCAATATTCCAGCTATGGGCTTCACACATTGTACCCATGTGGTGAATTGAACCCGGGTTTCAGAGACTGTTTCACCCACTAGGCTACCCTTGCACACCAAATACAAAAGAAAGTATATTAGGAATTCAGACAATAGATATTCTCACCAAATTCATTAATTCATTAATGGAAGCTATATTGAAATTCAAATTTTGACAAATTAGGATGAGACTGTAGAAGCATTTATCTAAGTTATTATGGATATTTAATATCTACCGTTAATTGGTAGTCCATCATAGACAGTGATAAGAAATTCAACTGGAAAGTACAACCTGAACCATCAACTAAAAACTATGTATATTACATTAAAGGGTCCGGTCATGTATTACCGGTATGCTCTCATTCATTTTTTTACACAACCCTCCCTGAATGAAAATGCAAAGCACTTTATATTTTATTGTCCATTTTGTCAAAAGCCTCCCCTAGAGACTCTCACATTTTGGGGTGACCCTCCCTGTTTGTTCTGATCTGAATTCAAATATTCATGACTCATTATCATATTTTATAATTTATCCTATCTTTTTTGAAAATTATCTAAATGAAGATTAACAATAACATGCAAATCTGCCAAAATATTGGCCTGGCAAAGTTTAAATTAATCATAATTACTGTTATACAGTTTTGGATCCATCATCTGTTTCTAAATACAGTGAAACCCAACTTTGACTTGTGTGGCATTGTTGTATCATCTACCCAATGTTCTTTATGCATTGATATGCATCTGCACAGAGTGGTCAAAGTCTGTGTCTGACACATAGTGTGCTGCAAGGGAGATATCAGTTTGTGTCTAGCCAAACTGTCTGATAATCTCAAGGGCTGCCTTGGTAGCATCAAGGGATGTAGCTAATCCTAAATAAACATAAAACAAGTGACATCATCTCTTCTACAGAACACATGATCAAAGCCTGCCCCACCTTTGATGTTTATTACCTTGCTACTCTAAAAACAGCTAATTAGCAAAATGAACTCAATGTCAACTCATTGTGGACTAGGGATTAACAGGGCAATTAGTGTCGGGTGGGTATTAGTACTTGCAATTGTCTGTTAATTACTTAATTGAGTAGTGATGGCTTAGTCAGTTGTGCCTTTACAACCACGCTGACTGCTATTCAACTTATCGAGTCAGTTTACTATGTAACATGCTTCTTGGGCCAAGGAAATGTATCTTGCTGGATAACAGTTTTTTCTAATTTATCAGAGATCAGAAATAATAATAATGACGTTTTTGATGTGCATTTCTTTGTTGTGTTTACTAGGATGATTAGTAGTGATGGTGTTTGAATTATTAGACACTATTTATTCCAAAAGAGGAATAGGGTTGGTGAAGAGGCAAAGCTTATTTGAACAACATATACATTGAATAAACAGAAACTGTACAAAAACAGATTAACTGTATCTACAGTTGAAACTATCATGATGCAAATTTTCACTGAATCAAAGTCATATCTTTTCAAGACTCAGATCAGGTTGTAGTGATTGAAGGTCACATAAAACTTGCTAATTTCAAATCACTCATCCCGCACTTATGATTTGGTTTGTTGTTTTATGCCGCACTCAAGCAATAGTCAAATATATATATATATGTAAATAATCGATGTCTGGACCAGACAGTCCAGTGATTGACATCATGAGCATCGACCCACACAATTGGGATCAATGACATGCATCAACCAAGTCACCGAGCCTGATCGCCACCTGATGGCGTTAGTCAACTCTTTAGACAAGCATTGTCGCCCATTAAGGAAAGTATTGGGTTACTTTATATTTTTGTGTCCCAATTACGCCATTATTAGAAATAAAATGTATTATACACATGAATATGATATAAAAATGGCAAATATGGTTGACAATATGAGCATTGATCTAAGCATTTGGAGCAGAACTACATGTATTTGTGTTTGTATGAGACGATGTGTGTTTAATTCCATATATTTTACTTCAAAGCATGTTATCACAATAAATTGAGTCGGGTATAGGATAAGTTGGAGTAGAGGCTAATTTCTAATGTAAACTTGTTTTAACATTTCACAATTATTGGTCTTTGCAAGTTATCAATCCAAGTTTAATTTCATTTATTTTACCAAGGTAAAAAAAAAATAAGGTATCATTTTCGTCAAGTAATAATCGCCGTTTTAGCTTTTGGCGAGTATTCCGCCAGTCAGTGCCGTTTTGCTAAGGTGTCGTTTCAGCTATAACCCGCTTATTGCACATTATAAGTTTAAAATCATTTCAACCACTGTAATAAGTAAAAAATGAAATAAAAGCATATAAACAATAAACAAGCACTTGTTATAAAATGTGCATCCGCAGGCAATATTTATAAGATAATCCTGCATGTAGCTGTGGCCATCACACTGAAGATGCACTTCACTTCTTTCTCATATGCCCAAATTACAATGATTTAAGACAGAATATGTACTATTATGTTAAGGGATATGATCTAAATTCAATTCTATTAGGTAATCCTGAAAGGACGTCAAAAATAAACTTAGAAATTCTTAAATCAGTACAAGACTACATTCAGCTATCCAATAGGTTTTGTGATTTTACATAGCATCTTAAATTTATAATACTATTCCTTGCCGTATATTGCAGTACACTATTACTACTAAAAATGCGACCTGACAGCGCCGACAACATAGTTTCTATAATAAGAACATATATATAATTGTATTCCTTGACTGCACTTTTGTCATATCATATTGTATTCTAATTCTGGAGCGGTATTCAAATAGGTTTTTGCTTGTTTACCCATCCAGTTCACAAGTTGTGAAATAAATATGTTTAAAACAATATTTAGTAAACAAATAATTAAAACTTATGCAACAAAATAGCGTGTGGAGACGATAGACCACTGAAAAGAGCATATATATGCACATCCAATGACCCCTGACATCACAAGGCATTGTTTTGCCAGTGTGTCAGGCAACAGAATACTACGAATTACACCACAGGGTACTGTGACCTGTTTGAAAAGTTAGGTACTGTATTCTAAAGGTAGGTCCAAAATTCCAGACAATCCAGTGATTGATATTGTGAACATCAATCCACACTGTTAGATGGTTATTGTCAGATGCCATGAACCAGGTCACCGAGCCTGATCACCTGATCTATTAGGTTATCTCTTATGGGTGAGGCTAAAACAGCACCTCGGCAAAATGTCACTGATTTCTCGGACGAAAACAGCACCTTGTTTTGGCAAAAAGGGCTACTAATTGTTGTCTGTTATCTGGAGAGACATGTTGATTCCTGGCCGAAAGATATATAAATGAAATTTCTATAAAATTACTATTTATTTCCTACTTACTAAAATAAATATGACATATATAGTATACCTGTTGTCCAGTTTCTTGACATTTTCGCCAGACTCAGTTTCAGCTTGACATTGAGCTAATCTGAGTAAAGCTACTTAAAACTTCAAAGCATGTGATCTTTCAATGATAAGTTTAGTTGCACCTCCCAATCAGAATCATGAGTAAATTTGAGCAGAGGCTAATTTCTAATGTAAACTATTTTTAGGTGATTAACATCTAACAATTATTTGTGTTTACAAGTTTAATTGCATTTATTTTACTTCAAAGAAATCAAAGCATATTATATTTTCACAATAAGTTTAGTTGCATCTCCAAATCAGAGTCGGCGAGTAGATGCTAGTTTTTAATGTAAACCTTTTTGATCATTAGCAAGGATTAACATAAGTTAGGTAGATTGCTTATCCTACAAAAAATAAATCACACATTTACTAACATAATTATATAAAACAGAATAAGTGGCTTACAGAAGATAAATAACTTTAATACGTGATCAATATTATTAACATATTCCTTACCTGAATCAGAGACCATATAACAGTCTATGTATTATGGCCTCTGTCTGAATTTCTCAGTTATTTGTGTTTACAAGTGACCATGCAAGTTTAATTTCATGTATTCGGGCATATTCAGACCCAAGGTAAAAAAAATAACAAGGTGCTGTTTCCACCAGGCAATAGTAGGCAAGGTGCTATTTCCCTTTATAGTATAACCCTCTCTTACAACTAGCATAGGTTGATGGGGACCAATTCCAACCCGGAATCCCCACATGAGTGGGTATGGTTTTACGCTGTTTTTAGCAATACCACAGCAAGGGACACCTGACATAGACTTCACACATTGTACCCATGACAAGAATCGAACCTTTGTCTTCAGCACTTCAACCACTAGGCTACCCCACCGCCAAAATTCCCAAAATGATAAAGTTGTCATCACGGTATTCTTCAACAAGTTCAAGTGAAAATATCCATACCTTTCAAATGTCTTATCTTCCACTTCACAATGTTCACTGTTGCAAAACTCCTGTCATTTAATTTGTTCTTGATTCTTCACACCTGCAAAAGTAAGTTTAGTCGGTACGGTATGAACTAAAAAAATGAGACACTTTAGAGTATCTAGATAAAGGAATATAAGTAAGCAAACATATTTCTACATCATATACATTAGCAAGGATTAACATAAGTTAGGTAGATTGCTTATCCTACAAAAAATAAATCACACATTAACTAACATATATAAAACAGAATAAGTGGCTTACAGAAGATAAATAACTTTAATACGTGATCAATATTATTAACATATTCCTTACCTGAATCAGAGACCATATAACAGTCTATGTATTATGGTCTCTGTCTGAATATGTCACGTCTTCAGCTCCCTGCAATCGAGGTTGTGAAACATTTCTGCTGTAGGAATATTACATCCGCTGGGATATCCCTTGTCACACTGCCTGGCATGGTAGGCAAGCGCATATTCCAAACACCACATAGATATACTTCCTAATACACACTGTCGAAATCCCCGCGGCTCCCAATATGGCCTGCATGAACTGTAATCGGCCAACCTCGTCTCTTTCCGTAACTGCTGCAGAAATGACCGCTCGTCATTCGTGACCAACTCGTGTTATTCCGGGACAAGCAAGTCTACCCATAATTCCCTGTATGACCGAGGGCGCCATTTTGGAACACAAATGTAAACAAACACTTAAACCTCGTGTAATCGATGTACACCGTGATGCTTGATTGCGATATGCTTACCTCGTGTATGAATACATTGTTCTCAATCACCTCTAACACGGAAATCCCGGTCGAAATCCACCTGAGCCATCCACAACGAGGACGTCAAGTATTTCGAAAACTCGATTGGCAGCCGAAGGAAGGAAGAGCAGCTTGCAGATGCCAGGTACGTAGCAGGGCTTCGAGACATAATGTTCCATGATTTCTATACAGAGATCTTATGGAATGGATTGATTTAGATATTTTCCTGATCTCCTTGTTACTACTGTAAACGTCGAGGACCTTTTAGTTTTGTTGTTTTCGGAAACCCTTTGTTATTATTATGATCAAGTGTTTGTTGTGACATGGTATTTCTATTTGGGCTTGCATAAGAGCTACAGGTGCAGGACTTTTAAGGGTCGTGTCCTTATTCTCATAACGCTGGGATTTGATGATGAGGGTTAGTTACCAAGGGTATAAATCTGGCAAAGTGCATGTCAAACAAAATGTGGCATTCAATTCCAATCATGTGTTGCCACCTGAACCGCCTGAAAGTGTGATATGGATCACAATGAATAATGACAGCTTATCAATCTTTAACAAATTCACACTGAAACATTGAAAGGATAAAGACAAGTTAGTTGTTTTCTGTTTCAGCATGTTCAGGGTTTGTGGGGAGGTTCACAGACATCCTCAGGGAGGATACCAAGTATTGAGTGAGTATTTTTGTTTGTGATAAATACAAACTACATGTATTCATCATGGTATATTTCAATGCAATGTGAAACATCACACTCACAATAGTCCAGCTCTGTGATGGCAGCTTGTAAATAATTGAACATGGACCAGGCAATCTGATTGTTATTATCAGCAAAGATCCATGCCCTCAGAGTATGATGACAACCTAGTCTGACCACCCAACTCATTAGTTGATTAGTGTTTGCAGCGATAGGAACTAACACTTTCAGTCCACTAGTCCTAAAATGATAGCATATAGCAAAACCTTTAAAATGTCAAAATGACTAGTGCCAATTTCTAACCCGCGTGTTTGGATGTTGTGTTTGTGTGTGTATGTATGAGTGTATTTAGGTTGGTTTGTTGTTTAATGCCGCACTCAGCAATATTCCAGCTATATGACGGCGGTCTGTAAATAATCGAGTCTGGACCAGACAACCCAGTGATTGATATCATGAGCATCGAGTCACGGAATTGAGATCAATGACATGCATCAACCAAGTCAGTGAGCCTGACCACCCGATCCCGTTAGTCGCCTTTTACGACAAGCATAATGGCCTTTTACGGCAAGCATGGGTTGCTGAAGACCTATTCTACCCCGGAATCTTCACGGGTCGAGTGTATTTAACTTAAATCATGAATCTTATGCTTGTTTCTCCATGCTTTTACAATGTAACCCAAATTTTCTCGGGAATAATAAAGTATTCTCTTATTTATATCATTTCTGAACAAAGTGTCATATCAAGGTTAGATCTCTGTCAAAACAGTGCCATGGAAAAGCCAAACAAATAGCCTAGAAATAAAAGTAAATACTGCATTGCATTAATCTGCATTTCAAGAAAATTTGGCAATAATTCATGGAATGATATTCACCTCGAACAAGTTATTTCCTATGTAATGTATGTGTTGAATGACCCTGACTTTGTTGTCAAAATATTGTTTTGACATTTGTTAAATATGGGGATAAATGTCATCTCTGAATGTTTGACATGAATTATTATGATTAGGGTAGTTCTAAGTCGGAATCACAACCGGGGTCTTTTCATTTGAATCAAATGTACAACATGTACAGTTTGGACATTTTTCTGTGATGTGAATGCTACTTATGTTTGTAGAATGTCCGGATGAATAAAAGAGACAGTCATCTGTGCAGCATCAATGCAAAGAAAGACCATAGAAGAGCAACAGTGACTGGAAAATATTTTGAAATTATTCTTCATTATGTCTTCAGTTTGTTCCTTATCGCTGTGGGCACGGATGTCCTATTATCTAAGGCACTACAATTTTCTGTGCAGAGTTGCATCTCTTGGGCTTAGCAGAAACCTATAGTCATGGGTTCAAATCCTGGTTCTCCCCGATTATGTTGCTAGGTTTGTCAGCATTATGCACATGCTCGTGGGATTCATCAAAGACCTGCATCACTTAGGGCTTTCTTCCCACATCAAGCTAACATGCGGTGATATATCTGGAATACTGTTCAAAGCAGCGTTAAAGCCAACTCATTTATTTAACACTGCATCCAGCAATAGTTTGGCTATATGACAAGGATTGTAAATATATATTTTTCCATGTTGATGAGTTGAAACAATCACTAAATGACATCTCATAAAAAGATTCCCAGCATTCCAAGCCTAATTAATAGATAAGGTAGTGATTGAGTAGGCTCATTGATCGCATGTAATCATACCACAGTGATGTGGGATATTGTCCATAATAGTTATCATCGGTTTGTCTGGACCGAGGTCATAACATTAGTCACTGGTTTGTCTGGTTGAGATTTGAGATGTGATTATCTTAAATGTTTAGCATATAACAAGACTCACATATGACAACTTAAGTGATTTTGCTGCCTTCTATCTGTAAGTACATGTGGCAACAATTCTTTTTGATTGCTAAAATCTTTTTACATAATGCTGCAGAAACTGCTTGAGATCCCTGGATGAGTACTCCAGGTTGACAGTCTGGAAGGACGAGACAAGGGAGTCCTAAACAGAGGCTGCACCCCTTCAGATATCAGAGGTGATTTGCAGACAGCGATGACGAGGGTCCTGTTATTTCAATGGAGGCCGACCGAGAAGTTGTATGCCAAATGGTACTGGGACACACAAAGGCTGGTCTGGCTAATGTGAGAAGACCAACCAATGCCAAGCTGGAGTGGAATTCTTCCAGGACATTCAGGAAATTCTTGTCTTGAGCCATATGGTAAACACTTGAAAGGAATGATAAATGGGACTTATTGTCTTTAAATGTGGACCCAAACACCAAATGGAAAGTTCACAATTCTACTAACACAATGCAGCAGAGATAGAGTCTAACTGGTATCCCCACATCCTGGTTCCTGTTCATCCATGGCAATATAGAAAGAAAAGGAGGATTGAGGGAAAGTAAGTTCTCTGAACTGGTGAACATACTCCGTAGGTACTGTCAAGCGAACAGTTATCACACTCTGTTATGAGTATTGAAGAATAGGATGAAATTGCATACTGCATCAGGAACCATCATGTGAACACTGTTCAATGTGCAATATACTATAGGCATATGAATAAAAGAAATTGATAATTTGATTGTTGCTTATGTTTCATTTGCCAGCTGTGTAAATGGGGATGTTTCATGATTTTGCCTCAGTTTAATAGCCACACTTATCTTATGAAACCATGCATTGCTTGGGCATCTCAAGATAAATAACACGTTTCCTTTGCTCTGAAAACGTCTGATGACACATTGATCTGTTATGTCAAAGGTCAAAGTCACAACCAGACAAGAACTTTGTTTGTGGTCTAACTCTTCCTTTGGACAGGGGTCGAAGTTGGAAAAAGGTCGTGTGTGATCTATATATAATACATTTTCCCCTAAATTGCCTTTTCTGCAGAAGTCTTAGTAACTCTTATGCATATACTGGTTACATTACTTCCATATTTTGGTCAATGATATGTTGAATTCTACCAAAGGACTGCATATTTGGTTTATGTGCTGGATAGCTCTTTGAAATGTTTTTGAAATATTTATCACTGATATTGAAGGTCAAATTCACACTCAAAAGTGATAACTCTTGAAGGGTTGAAGTGTAAGATCAAGGCAATGGTGAAGGGGTCATTCATAAAGTATTTCTGCAATTATAACTAAAATGCCTATTTCTGGAGATATTTGTGAAGTATTAAGCACATAGTTGTTATATTATTTGAATACACATATATGTGCAGTGGTTACAACTCCAGTGTCAAATTAACTCTCAATCCCTTTTAATAAAAGAATTCACAGTAGCTGAGGAAGAGCTTACTGTAGTACGCTAAAACTAGGGTTAGGCAAATTTCAATGAAGTTAGTATTTTGGATATAACAAGTACATGTACGGTTACAAATAGTCTTATTATCATCTCACTAGGACTAAAGGCCCAAGTGAGCACATTGTCAATGACTTTTTCTTTTTCTTAGTACAAACTGGAAGTCTGGACATGAAATTTAAGGATATCATTATACGAGAACTGATGTTTGTTCATTAAATAGCATTAACATCTGAAAAGGACAATATATGAAATTGAACAATTGTCTTCTCCAAAAATGTTTTAGGAGGATATTTATCATTAAAGTAACCCAGAATATTACAACAGCTACCTGTAATGCACAGGCTAACATTTTTTACCAGAAGCAAGTCCTGAAGAAAATTTGCATCCGGATACCTTCCGGAAACCTTCCGGAAACCCTCCAGATGCCTTCAGCAACCTTCAAATTGCTTGGTATTTTCAAGTTAATTTTTTTATGTGTTTCACACTTAAGTGAACAAAATGCACCCCCCAAATTTTGACATCTTTTTTGGAAGGTTTCCGGAAGGTATCCGGGCCAGATTTAAAAATGGGTAGGTATCCGGAAGGTTTCGGGAAGGTTTCCGGAAGACGGAAACCTACACTTTTTTTGCTGTGCTGCAGCCTGGTGTCAATGTGGCCTTCCGGAAGCAGTTGACTGTAGCCTGGTGTCCATGTGGCCTTCCGGCAGCAGTTGTCGTAAGTTGACTGTAGCCTGGTGGCGATGTGGCCTTCCGGTAGCAGTTGTCGTAAGTTGACTGCAGCCTGGTGTCGATGTGGCCTGTCGGTAGCAGTTGTCGTAAGTTGACTGCAGCCTGGTGTCGATGTGGCCTGCAGGTAGCAGTTGTCGTAAGTTGACTGCAGCCTGGTGTCGATGTGGCCTTCCGGAAGCAGTTGTCTTGAATTGACTGTAGCCTGGTGTCCATGTGACCTTCCGGAAGCAGTTGTCTTGAACTGACTGCAGCCTAGTGTCGATGTGGCCTTCCGGTTGCAGTTGCTGTAAGTTGACTGCAGCCTGGTGTCGATGTGGCCTTCCGGTAGCAGTTGTCCTGAGTTGACTGCAGCTTGGTGTCGATGTGGCCTTCCGGTAGCAGTTGTCCTGAGTTGACTGCAGCTTGGTGTCGGTGTGGCCTTCTGGTAACAGTTGTCGTAAGTTGACTGCAGCCTGGTGTCCATGTGGCCTTCCGGTAGCAGTTGTCGTAAGTTGACTGCAGCTTGGTGTCGGTGTGGCCTTCCGGTAGCAGTTGTCGTAAGTTGACTGCAGCCTGGTGTCCATGTGGCCTTCCGGTAGCAGTTGTCATAAGTTGACTGTAGCCTGGTGTCGGTGTGGCCTTCTGGTAGCAGTTGTCATAAGTTGACTGCAGCTTGGTGTCGATGTGGCCTTCCGGTAGCAGTTGTTATAAGTTGACTGCAGTTTGTTGTCGGTGCGGCCTTCCGGTAGCAGTTGTCCTAATTTGACTGCAGCCTGGTGTCCATGTGGCCTTCCGGTACCAGTTGTCGTAAGTTGGCTGCAGCCTGGTGTCCATGTGGCCTACTGGTAGCACTTGTGCGTTGACTGCAAGGTCACCTTTCCGAAAACATGGTTATTTTTTTAACTTATCCTGCATTACTCCGTATTGCATTTACTGCTATGTTTGACAGAGAGACGAACTGTGTGAGATCCAGCTGCTGAAGAAAGTTGTCCCAACCAGCCCAGGAGGCAGCGCCCTCTCACAGTCGGCACGTGACCCGGAAGTCATGACGTCACACCAAAAGACATAACTGCTTTGTCACCTCCACGGACGGACGTACTTTGTATCCCTTGTGGAAATTAAAGCTTATTATTTGTTTTTTATATTTTGCGTGTTTCTACATTCATTATATGCTGCTACATTGTTACCTGTTATGGGCCGTGACCTTAGGGTCTTCCCATTCGTAAATTGTAACGTTTATCGCTCGTCTGTGGCTCACGTCACAGTAATTTACGGGCGCAATGTTGTTCCCGCCATTTTGTTTTCTTTCCCGCCATTTTGGCCATTCACCACGTGGCCACGTAATGTCGTGTTCTGCGTTTTGAATTCTCTCTTTGGCTTGGGTAATACATTACATTTATGTATGTTGTTTTGGTGTGCTTAAAGCCTTGCCTTTTCGCTACCTCTAAGCGTAATTGTTTCTTCTCATAAACTTCAATATAATACGAAGTTTATGAGTTACATTATGTCTCCCGTACTCTGTGGTTTTGCCACATGGTTACGTGTTTGCTTAAGGCTTTGCCTTTTCGCTCCCTTTTAGCGTACTTGTTTATCTCATAAACTTTAATAAAATATACTGTTTTTGAGTTACTTTATGCTTCCCATACTTTGTGATTGGCCACACATTATGCTTCCCGCACTTTGTGGCTTTGCCACATAGTTATGTTTTGCTTAAATTCCAGATTTTCTGCCTCGCTGCACTTGTTGCCGCGGGAACAAATCTGGCCGGGGCCGCCCCTTTCTGCCGTGATTGTACGACGCCCTGTACTTTCACAAGGCAGTGCCGATGTTGCAGTCATTCGTTGCTGTGATCCTTCAGCTGTGAAGGATCCTCCGGCGCTTCTGATGACGCGGCGCCTCCGGCGCCTCTGATGACACGGCGCCTCCGGCGCTTCTGATGACGCGGCGCCTCCGGCGCCTCTGATGACACGGCGCCTCCGGCGCTTCTGATGACGCGGCGCCTCCGATGTCTCGGCGCCTCTGATGACACGGTGCCTCCGATGTCTCGGCGCCTCTGATGACACGGTGCCTCCGATGTCTCGGCGCCTCTGATGACACGGCGCCTCCGATGTCTCGGCGCCTCTGATGACACGGTGCCTCCGATGTCTCGGCGCCTCTGATGACTCGGCGCCTCTGATGACTCGGCGCCTCTGACTCGGCGCTCCCGGCGCCTCCGATGACTCGGCGCCTCCGGCGCCTCTGATGACTCGGTGCCTCCGGCGCTTCCGATGACTCGGCGCCGCTGATGTCTCGGCGCTCAACAAGCTTCATGACTTGTTCATGACAAGCTGATGACTCGGCGCTCCCGGCGCCTCCGATGACTCGGTGCCACCGGCGCCTCTGATGACTCGGCGCCGCTGATGTCTCGGCGCCTCTGATGTCTCCGCGCTCCGGCGCCTCCGCATCCTCTGATGTCTTCGGCGCTCAACAAGCTTCAGATCAACAAGCTTTATCAAGCTCAGATCAACGAGCCGACCATCCGATCTTCTACTGCGGCTTAAGGGGCACCATCGGCAATCGCCTCCCCGGCGCCACTGCCCTCTTCTCTTGCTGCCGTCTCATAACTCGTCACACGGAGAAGCATGGTGAAACAACTGTCGCCGCTCCTGTCGCTACTCTCCCGTCGGTCTTCGGGATCGTGACTATCGTACTACTTCCTGGGTGGAATCATTTCAACCAATAGACAGTTGGTCTGATTCAGCTTGCCCACTGAGACGTTATCCATAATCCCGTCGTTTAAAGCGCTATGATTCCGGAGAGATGACCTGCGGGTTTCCATCGAAACAGAGCGCCATGTGAACAGCGTCTGTATCAGATTCGATGACGACATCCACTTACAAAGAGTTTACTTCGTCGACATCGCAGACATCAACGCTGTTCTACCCTACCCTAGCGCCAGCGTTCCTGAGAGAGACTCTTCCTCGGCGCTCCCCGGGTTTTACACGACGCCCATGGGGTTCCGTGTTTTATCGCAAAACTCGGGTACACCACTTGATCGTCTCTCACACAGTTCATTGAGGATTGTCTGTGTGTGGAGTTTGCACCTCAGTTCCGACTCCAAGGCGGTTTTCTCGGCTACTGCGCAGAGTGATTTACATGTCATGTGTCAAGTACTCGGACTGTCAACAACTCCGACCGGATTTAGGTCAACTTACCATGGCAAGGGGTGCCATGTATTTCTACAGATTGGTTTCCATGTCTACCTGTACGCTTGGTGATACCACTCAACCAGGCGCCTGTCGCAGTCCATCCATGCACGGATGTTGGAAACAATAGACCTCCTCTACCAACACGGCTGTCACGAGGAACCTTGTTTCATCAACCCTTCGCTATAAGAACGATAGCGCCTATAGGCGTTCAAGGGATGGAAAAGATCGCCTTCCTTCGTCCGGTTTGATCTTTTCGACTACGACACCTTCCTATCTTCCGCCTTGACTACCGGACACAGTGTCGATTTGATACTTAAAGTCCCTCGGCCGTCCCACTGACCCCTGTTGCATACCTGCCTCGTATCGTGTTGTCGTCCTCCATCGTCACCTCGATATAAGAACAGGAGTACTTATACGCCGCTTCAGGGATGAAAACGATCTCATTACTTCGTGCAATGGCCATATTGCCTCGACTTCCTACTACCCGGTTACGTCGATGCCCCGGCGGTCGATTGTGAAGCTAGTTTACTTCGTCTACTTGGGGTTGGCTCGCAGGCGATCACACCTTTTTCCGAATCGTACCGACGGTACGCAATCGCAGACCCCTGTTGCTGACTACCTCCCCTGCCACCTTGTCAGTGGCTAGTGGCCCACGCCAGCCCACATTGTGACCACCTGTGATCCAGAGATCAACACCATAGGCACAGCAACAGCCTCGAGATAAATGCTTATCCAGGACGGCACTTGCTGACAGTGCATTCTCGGTCACGCCCTGTTGATCGTGTCCACTGACGACGTCACCGTAGTGTGGTGTTTGCGGACCCAGAGTTCTCGCCCCTCTCCCGGCGCTACAAACTCGACCGGCGCCCCCGAGAATCACCATCTAAGGCGTTCCAGGCGCCTCAAGCTCTCCGACGCCTCACGCTCTCCGGCGCCTCGGGCCAGACTATGTGAAACGGTCGACACCCCAACCCTAGATCTGTTTGCCTCATATCTGAATGTGGCCAGCAGTCGTCTTCCATTCCACCTGTGCCGGATACGACCGCTGTGGCAGTCGAAGCCTTCCATCGTTCCTGAGAAGGATTACGCGCGTACGCTTTTCCGACTCCGGTTCTCCCTCCCACGGTTCTTCAGAGATCCAGGCCACTCGACCCCTGCCATTGACTTTGGTCTCGCCTTATTGGTCAGCCAGAAGTTGGGTTATCGACCTCCGAAACATAGCCAGAGACAACCCCTGGAACTTCCGGTGTGGTCCAACCTTCTGCTCCATCCACACGGTCTGTTGCCACACCCTCATACCCGCATGTTATCGTCTGCACGCCTGACACACATGCAGAAAGCCAAGGGCTATTCGGCTAGAGCGACCAAGGCTATTGCTTCAGCCCACCGTCCATCTACAGGGGGACTGTATGCTGATAAATGATGCTTGTTCCAGGCATTTTGTTCTGACAAACACCAGGATCCGATGACAGCGTCACCGCAGATCCTGGATCAGTTCCTTCTGTACTTGTGTAGCACCCATCGGTTGAAGGGCTTACCACCCCCACATACCTGGTCGCCATCTACTCCTTTCTGGCCATCCCGGACGATCGGAGAAAGACGAAAATTCCCGACCTACGGGCCTGGCTGCGCTCGTTCAGTCTTGAAGACCTGAAGACCAAGTTCGGACCGCCTGCGTTGGATCTGAATGTGGTCTTCAATGCCCTTCGAACCACTCCCCTCGTCTTCCTTCTTCGACCTTAAGTAGAAGACGGGTGTTTCTACTGGTTTTGACTACTGCCGCTCGAGTCCATGTACAGCACGCCCTCGACGTCTCCCATGCCCGGTTCGAATGCGGTACCCAGGGCGCCGTTCATCATGGACCGTACTGGGACGTCAGCGTAAAGACTCAACTCCCAGGACAGCCTGATAGATCATTCCTTGTCCCCTCCCCCCTCGTCCAGTGTGGGTGCCGAGGATGAGGATGAGCGTCATTATGCCCAGTAAGGGCACTGAAGGTTATTCTACGATCTAAAGACTGCCGCAAGTCTAGGAAACACCTTTTTCTGCCGGTCTCCCCTTCGTCGCTGTCGTTGGTCAGCCGGAATACTTTTCCCTGTGGCTCCGGGCGGTCATCCTTAAAGCGTATGAGCCGCCGGATTGGACCCTCCCCCCAAAGGCTATTACCTGAAATAAAATGAGATCAGGGCGATCGTATTTACACTGGTTCTTCACGGTATACTGTTCCATCCCGTCGTTCAGGGAAGCCTGTTCGTGGCGATCGGACACCGCCTTCACCAACCACTACTTCCGTGATGTAGCCTTGAAAGTTGTCGCCGGCGTTCACAGTTTTGGTCCCTGGTTGTAGCCCAACAGGTCATCTATCTCCGACGCCACTGATTCTCCGATACCCTGAGCGGGGCCCGTCGACCTTTCTGGTGTTTATCACCCCAGACGAGACGGCTCTCTTGCGTTCCGCATTCGCTCTTAGGTCAGTTTTAGTTTTGGGTTACCCGACTCATTCTATTGCTGTCACCTATCCGGGTTTTACTTTTTGCATCAACTCTCGTTTCCTGACGACAGGAATGGTAGTAGATGTGGACACCGGCGCCGACGCCAACGCCGCTGCTTCTATGGTACCTGAGCGGTGCCCGTCGACCTCACCGGTGTTCCTTGCCTCCAGCCTAGAGGGCTCTCCTGCGTTTCGCATTCGATCTTGGGATTGGTCGTAGATTTTGCCGCCGACGCCGCTGATTCTTCGATTCCCCGAGCGGGGCCCGTCGAACCTCAGATTAGCTCTAGGTTCTACTGCGTTTCGCTTTCGCTCTTCGGTAAGTTATATATTTTGGCTACACGCCTCATTGTATTTCGGTTACCTATTCGGGCGTTTCGTTTTTGCATCGACTCTTGTTTCCTGAAGAAAGGAATGGTCGTAGATGTTCCGGTCATCACTTGTATGCGGTGCGGATTCATCGGACCTTGACGAGGGTTTAATATGGTTCACATCTGCAAGTATGCCCACCGGCCAAGCCGTCTGATAAAGATGCAATACGGAGTAATGCAGGATAAGTTAAAAAAATTTAGTAAAATCTAAATATTTTTTACATTTGTATACTTATCCTGCATTACGAAGTCTAAGTGCCCTCCCTTTCGCTACGCTACCTCCCCACGAAGTTTCAGATGTTATGTTTAAAGCAGTTATGTCTTTTGGTGTGACGTCATGACTTCCGGGTCACGTGCCGACTGTGAGAGGGCGCTGCCTCCTGGGCTGGTTGGGACAACTTTCTTCAGCAGCTGGATCTCACACAGTTCGTCTCTCTGTCAAACATAGCAGTAAATGCAATACGGAGTAATGCAGGATAAGTATACAAATGTAAAAAATATTTAGATTTTACTAAGATTGTTTTTTCTATTTTCTACTCTTTTCTTTCTTTGTATGGACTCTTTAGTATTTTTCATAATTATCAAACAAATATATATTTTCGAGCAGGATCACTGCCAATTGCAATGCCGCACAAAACAGACTGCTGCGTGTGAAACATTCAAAACACAACAAAAAGTTTATTTGATAAAGCATTATGATCGCCAACTTATTAACTTTGGTCATCTACTTATGAAATACAACTAAACGGCTTACAGTTCATGGCGATGTTTAAGGTAAATATCTTGTTTGTTCACAGATGGCATGTTCAACATTGATAGTGAAACAGAAGAGTTGACAGGTAATTAACCCTTACAAACTTGGATGTAGGTAATATGTATGAATTGTGTTAAGGTATGTCTACGCCAGGCGTTGGTTCCACAAAACGTTGACTGGCTTGTGAGGCATATATTATAATTATTGTATTTAGAAAAATATGATCAAGTTAAATGTGAAGTGATTACCACAAAAATAGTGGGTGTGAAAAACAGTCTGGATTAGACAAACCAATGATTGATAGCATGAGTATACAATTCACATACTCTCAGTACGATGATACGCAATGTGGAAAGCCTAATCACCCGATCGAATGTATTCGCCCCTTAACGCTAGCAATTGGATCGGTTCTGACAACATATCCTTATCCTGGATCTACGTGTTCATTTTCTATATTCAGTAGTGTTCTGTAATAATCTATGGTTTTAAACTGCTAATTAAATTTGCTTTACATTTCTGTCAGTTATATTATCTCTGTTTTATGATTCGTTGAAGGGCTAATAAACTCAGGACCGCAATCCCCCTGCAGGTTGCCTTAGTGGGGAATGATGTCCAATGGGGACTTCCCCTGACCGCCCGACCCGTGAAAACCCGGGGTAGAAGCGATCTTCAGCAACCCATGCTTGCCGTAAAAGGCGACCATGCTTGTCGTAAAAGGCGACTAACGGGATCGGGTGGTCAGGCTCGCTGACTTGGTTGATGCATGTCATCAATACCAATTGCGTGGGTCGTTGCTCATGATATCAATCACTGGATTGTCTGGTCCAGACTCGATTATTTACAGACCGCCGTCATATAGCGGGAATATTGCTGAGTGCGGTGTTAAACAACAAACCAACCAACCCCTCACTGCCCTGTGTACATGGTCATTTTCACATGCAATATGTGGAGCATCTTTTCGTGTTGCAATAATGTAATCATTCTACATTATATAACTGGGTGAATGGAGGATGACACTGAATTCGCTGGTCAACCAGTTCCTAGTGCCAGTTTCAGTTCGAAGTACTATAACATGAATATGTTTGGTACTCAGTGATATACAGATGTTCGTAGTTTAATCGTGGCAATATTATGTTGCAGTTGGATGCCAAGTCTGCACGTCAATAGGACACAGGTACGAAGACGAACACAAGGGAGGTCGTCAGCACGCTAAGATACAACTACATGCAGGATACAGCATCACACGGGGAAGGAAAAGCAAAGAAAAGTCTTCAGTTCTGGGGAAAGTAGCAAAAGCAGTGTCAGCTTTACGTAACAGTGGCGGGGGAGTGTTGCTGGTACACTTGGAGGGGATTTCACCAGAAGATAGGTGTCTCGAGTACTTTGATGAATTTGTAGTAAAGACATTCACGAACTTACTTGAAGGTGGGGAACTGTATACTGACTCATATGAACGTTATTTCCTCAACGAGAAACCGAAATTCACAGACGCGCGTGACTTTCTTGTAGTTGACGTTAACAAAACAGCTGGTGTAGCAACAGTTGATTTCAACACTAAGGCAAGCAATGACAATGAGAACCTGGTTGTAACATCACTGAACCTTTTGGAAGTATTGAATAAAACAGAAACAAATACGAAGAACCAAGCTTCTCTTAGGAACCTGCCAGATAATGTGAAAACATTTCATGAGAATCGACATATACAGTTGAAAGCATTTAAAGACAACACTGAAGAGATTCAGCGGAAACAAGCTGATGTGGGAAAATTGACTGATCATATCTGGCACACTCTTAAGCTGAAAGACAATATAACTTCTATGTCAAAGCTGGTTCAAGGTGGGTCATACTACTTGGGTGTTAACGAAAAGAAAGCTGTCACAGAGGGAGGTTATCAAACAAAGGTTGCAGACATTGTTGGTTTCAAGCTACACGTGAGTCAGGCATCCTTGATAGAGAGTATCTACAGGAAGGTTGAGACTGATCTGTCTATATTGACAAAGCAGGGCAAGTTTACAGACGCTCCTAGAAACCTGATAAACATAGAATTCTACCCTATCCAACAATCTGAGCTATTTGTTTTGGAAGTAGCTATTCGATATTGCGACGGGGTTGTTTTTTATGATAGACAAGGGCCGAGATCCTACATTCTCGATGAAAAAAACAAAACTGTAAGAAGAATGAGCAATGATGAATGGCTTCAGAAATTATCAAGTACTCCTGCTTTGAATGCAACATTTCTTAAGCTTCAGGTGTGTCCATGATGTGAAATCGTTCAAAAAACAAAGAAAGAGCAATTTCCTTTCCAGTGATTTTCCTACCTAAACAAGACCAGTAAAACATCTTCATCTGTTTCATATAATAGATGCACGCAGACAGATTCAGAGTGATATAAACCTCTCTACAAAACTATATGACAAGAGGGATGACGTCAACTTTCCAATAGTTAACTTTTTCCCTTCAGCTGTACTCAAGCAGCACCATCAGCTGTACTCAAGCAGCACCATCAGCTGAACACAAGTAGCACCATCAGCTGTACTCAAGTAGCACCATCAGCTGTACTCAAGTAGCACCACCAGCTGTACTCAAGCAGCACCATCAGCTGTACTCAAGTAGCACCATCAGCTGTACTCAAGTAGCACCACCAGCTGTACTCAAGCAGCACCATCAGCTGTACTCAAGTAGCACCACCAGCTGTACTCAAGTAGCACCATCAGCTGTACTCGAGTAGCACCATCAGCTGTACTCAAGCAGCACCATCAGCTGTACTCAAGTAGCACCATCAGCTGTACTCGAGTAGCACCATCAGCTGTACTCGAGTAGCATCACCAGCTGTACTCAAGCAGCACCATCAGCTGTACTCGAGTAGCACCACCAGCTGTACTCAAGTAGCACCATCAGCTGTACTCAATTAGCACCATCAGCTGTACACAAGTAGCACCATCAGCTGTACTCAATTAGCACCACCAGCTGTACACAAGTAGCACCATCAGCTGTGCCCAAGTAGCACCACCAGCTGTACACAAGTAGCACCATCAGCTGTGTCCAAATAGCAGCACCAGCTGTACTCAAGTAGCACGATCAGCTGTACTCATGTAGCACCACCAGCTGTACACAAGTAGCACGATGATCTGTACTCAAGCAGCACCGCCAGCTGTACTCAAGTAGCAGCATCAGCTGTACAAAAGTAGCACTATCAGCTGTACTTAAGTAGCAGCATTAGCTGTACTCAAGTAGCACCATCAGCTGTACTGAAGTACCACCATCAGCTGTACACAAGTAGCACCGCCAGCTGTACTCACTAGACACCACCAGCTGCACTCAAGCAGCACCATGTCCGACAGCAGTAGTGACACCTCAGTCGGGTCAAGCCCATACCAGTCTGACCAGGAAGCCATGACATACGTCATGGTTGGAGAAGACACAAATACAGGTAGGAAATTAATTGTCAATCCTATGAATCATGTCACCCCAGGGATACAGGTAGGAAATCAATTGTCAACCCTATGAGTCATGCCCCCCAGGGATACTTTAACTGTCATTCTACCATGAATTTGGAATTTACTCGATTCTGATTGGTCAATCAGAGGCTATTAAATCACAATAAACCCCCTCTGATTGAAACAGCTGGTTTGACGGCCGCATCACCGTGGAAGCTAATATTCATAGAATAGTACTATTTTCTGTCATTGTCGGTAGGCATATTTAAATAACTATATCTACAATTACAGGTTACAAAATGCACATGTGCGGTTACTACAATATTCAAAGGATGTGTGGCAATACATTTCGTGCAGAAAAACACGACATAAATCAACAAAGGGAATGTATTTACGTTTTGGAGACAACAGAGAGCTTGAAATTTTGGCGCTTTTCTATATACGACTGTGACGTCATATATTTTGCGTCACAATGTGCGATATGACGTCATAATGGTGACGTGAGAAGTAGAGCGAAAGACTTGCAAAGCTTCCTTTGTTTTCTTAGGGATGGCCACCTCATGTTAGTTTACCAAGTTGCCGTACTTATATGCTTTTAATGCCTGTCATATGTTCGAGTGAAGTATTACGGAGTAAACAAACTGCTTGAGTATATACAGCACCATATTTTGTTCGGTGATTCCGTAATTCAGATCGATAACCCACTCAAAACACTGAACTCAACCCATGCCGCTTCACTCAGTATATTTGCTAACACCAAAGAGTTCGCGTTTTATTTAGTCATTGTAGAATGGAGATAAACGTACTGTGTTTTCAATGTAGAGCTAGGTTACCTGTAGATTTAACCGCGCTAAATTTAGCGTTCGGTTCCAAATTCAATTTAGCGGGGTTAAATCTACAGGTAACCTAGCTCTACATTGAAAACACAGTATGTTTATCTCCTAATTTAGCACTGTGCTTTGAATCTCGGAATAACACTCGGTCCTTCGCACCGACGGGGTCCCGGCTGTGCAGTCAAAATGGTTCGTTTTCCTTGATCTACCAGCTGAATTTATATCCTGTCGTCACCATTTTGGAAGAGGGAAATCAGAGTGTTCGCCAAAGACGTTTATGTCTGCTTACATGTCAGTAACAGTTTCGAACGAAGGGCAAGGTCCCCATCGGAATAAGAAAAGACAACCGTCATCTACTCACAGCATTTTGCGCTTGAAAATAATATGGAACGTTATTTTCACATTTGTGATGTTTGGGCCACACAAAAAACAGAAGTCAGGTACACTTCCATGGAGTTTTTGAATGATTTGTATCGGAACTGTTCACTTTGAAAGCCACCTTCGGAAGCCATGTCATAAAATACGCTTCGAATGGGGGCACTGATGGCACAACCGGGGCTTCCAGCTTATATAACGTCTGTAGTAGCTCTGTGTTTAAATAATATTGAATGCAAAGCGAATTTGATGCGTGTGACGACGATCGTGTTTGGTCTGATAAAGTGTGTGTCAATGTCTCTCGCCTAGTTGTAAAAATGAATGACGTAGTTCCGGTGAGACTGAGGTCACGGTTATCGAATCAAAACGAATAAAACGACGTCAACCTTGTACGACTCATGTGACTTACAGATTTAGTATCTTACCATCTGTATCTTCACCACGTCGGTAATAAATCTTGGTATCTATGTCACAGCTACATGTACACTGAGATGGGGGAAAACCTGTCTACACTTATCACAAGCTGAGAAAGTTACTCTTCATCTATTAAGGTGTATTAAGCGTTATTAGCACAATGTAAATATATCAATGTTCGTGTTTGACAGAATGATCGCACCTATTGTAATCTACGCCTCAGACGTTTGACGATATCAATATGTAACGTGTTTTTAAACAGTGCAGTTATAGGAAGGTAGATCTTCCCGTTATTTCTACTGTATGTTATGAAAATGCATATCCTACTGGAAAAAATTGTTGTCCATGCAATGCCATGGGTACCCAAAAATTTGATAAAATATGTTGCCGGGCGGCAAACAAGGGTCGGATTTTTTAGAAATATTTAGTTTGAACATGGGTATGGATTCGTTTGGTTAAATCAGGGTGTCGGGAAGGCGCAAATACGTTGAGTTTCTTTTGCTCAACGATTGAAAGATGTATCAAGTCAACATTGGCTTTGTATTACATATGGGAAAGTAAATATAAGTTTTTTATGAACAGTGTAAATGTGTGTTACAACCAGAACAGTGGCGAGTAAATATTAAGAGTCAGTTTTGTTTGTTTGTTTGTTGTTTAAGGTCGCACTCAGCAATATTCTAGCCATATGACGGCGGTCTGTAAATAATCGAATCTGGACCAGACAATCCAGTGATTGACATCATGAGCATCGATCCACACAAGTAGGATACGATGACATGCACGAACCAAGTCAGCGAGCCTGACCATCCCGTTAGTCGCCTTTGAAATCTTGAGTCTAGACGATTGGAAAATGGTTTGTAGGAAGGAAAATTATGTTTATGTTGTATCAATGTGTGTTTAAATATAGTTATCAAAAAGGAAGAACATTTTTGTTGATCTGCCTTTGTGGGATAATTTGAGGAGTCAGTGAAAGCTTTGTGAAAGGACATTTCAACGTCATCATGAAAATTTGTAATAGCTAACATGCATTGAAACCAGGTGTATAACAATTATGGTATCAATGTGAGAAATCAATACATTGAAAAAACACTATGATATGAATTAATAGAATCTACTGATAATGCATACTGATTGTAATGCATTGAATGTACAAAGGCGGACCGTTCACCAATATATTGTTTGTGAAGAGTTTGTGAATTATGGGCTTGATGGCCAACATTTCCGAAATAAAAACATATTAAATATTAAAAGTACATTTGTTTATTTTGAAACAATCTTTTGAGTATATGATTTATTAATTCAAGACATTTGATGAGACTTGTACGCCATTAATAATTGGTCAACATGAGTCAAATCACACTGACACAATGGGGTGTATGCGGTGATCTTAGAACTAATTTACATGTTAGCTAGGGCCATCCATTTCTTTATCACTTTATTATTTATGTAGTACGATTTTATCATATTTATGATTTGTCACGAAACCGGCACGTGTAAGGTTTCCTATCGATATTTGTGTTGCAATAGTTTGGTTACTCTGAACAAGACAATACATTGTTGTGATCCATAGCAAATTGTCACCAGGATAGCGGAGTTATGCCCCTTTTCTTTGTGCATGTGTATACCTCTCTGCCTTCTTTTGACGTCATAATGATTTCCCTCATTCATGTATCGAATATATAACGTTATAAATACCCTTACAAATATATTTTATATATCACAATGTCATCAAAATGTTAGGCAGTATTTTGTTCGTATAAAGTTAAATGAAGCTGTCAAATAAACCTTTTGTAGCACAGTACTTGTTTCGATGTAGGAGTAAAAGTGGCAAAAGATTGCTGTGTTTTTACGCATAACAAAATTTCAGTCTGTTTTTTAGATCAATCTTATATTTGCAATGATTATACACACTCTGATAGGGAATGCAATATTCTAACTGTATAGTTAGAGATAGATGCAGTGCCGCGCGACCGCACTTCTCGCACAACGTTTACCTTTTCATCTCGGCATCCAGTGGGTTAAACTGCAACTATATTTGTCTAGTGATATCAGTGATGTACCACATGACGTTGATTAAGCTCTACAATTATTTACAGTTTCAGGAGACACACGTGCAAGACACAATAATGACAGTAACACGGTAAGGCAATAACAATAGACAGATGAAGATCTGCAGCTCGAACAAGCTTTAAATGTGAATAATATTAATGAAACACACTCTGTGTCTTCAGCAAATCTTGATTCCATGTAATTGTTATATAAATATCACCAAATATATGCAAACAGTTTGGATGTTTTTCATCACAGGTAAGACTTGAAGAGCAGGATAACAATGCATGCCTTGACGGAGCAGGATGTTCAACAGACATACCTCAAGGTGCGAACGTTTCCTTCATAAGCGTTTTGATAATAAATCATCTTAATAAGTTCAGAAGATACTTGTCACTGTAGAAATACCACACACCACTCATAATTAGGATTCAGTATTTACGACTGGAAAATCCAATTTTGGCAGCTTAAAAAAGTTTACGTTAGATTCAGATGCTCTGAAGCGACATAGGCCAGATCTAACCTTCCTTCTACATCTCAAGTAATGGGTTTGTACTCGTCAAATAATCCAATACCCACATACTAACTAAAACCGCTGCACCGGTTGACAAGTGGAGCTGAAGGTGTCGTAGACCACAGATATTATCTAGGTACCTTTATGTATACCGAAATGAACCCTGGGCGAATTCGTGGGACCAACGGTAGAGCAGGATATGCTTTCTTTATCATATAAAGGTTTCTCGGCAGGATAAAGCCAACGGATAAAAACGATATCCGTTGGGGTCAAATGCGGAAAGAGATGCAAATATCAAAGGTCAAGTAGGGACTACTTTCACTGTTTATAAACAAACATGGCGTCGCCCTCGTCATTTGGCGATCGAGTCAGAATTAACCATCGGGAATCTGGATAAACTACAGGGATAATTGCTATCATTATCAAAAGAACAGTCTAATATACTGAAAATCAGTGTCTAACTGTGACGTAGCTAAGGCATTTTATAAGTTTTGGCAACTTTGGAGATATAAATTTCGTAACAATTTTGCGAGGGCACGAGGCCTAGCCAAGTGGGATCAGTATCCATGTCTGTGCTTGTAGACCTCTGCGGCTTGAAATCTTCTCCACAAATTAAAGTAGTTGGATTTGGAACCAAATATGTTTGAATTGTTACCTTGTTTCGTTTTGTCGCTGTGTGTACATCTGACAACACTTCTTAACATTATGACAGACCGACGGTCAACAACGTCTGACCGTGGCCGTGACGTCTCATAGACTAGGGTAAGAGTAGCTTCCCTTTGACAAAGGGCAGTTACTCTAGCGGACAGACCGATGGATTGCCGCGAAAGGCAAATAAAAACAATCGTTGTTTTGCGTATATGTTGCTTCGCCACTGTATAAGAAACAGATTTCAGTTGGAAGTATATTGGCTACTGTCACTGTCCGACTGACACATCACTTACCCTGTGACGTAATAAATATTAATGCGCGCATTCAAGGAAAACTCGCAATGTTTCGGTAATGTTTGTGAAAGAGGGAAAGTGATTTTGAAGCACAGAATTAAAGAATGACATTATATGATAAAGAGGTTATCACGCTTGTGTGTTTGGGGATGGTAAATATCCTGTATTAGGAATAAACACTATGTATTTAGCTCGCCAAGGCTCGTTAAATACAATGTTTATTCCTAATGCAGGATATTTACCATCCCCAAACACACTCGCGTGATAACCTCTATTTTCGTGAACACTTGCAATCATCACTATTCGATAGTGATTCATTGTACTTGCTCATGATATTGTCGAAATCGTAATTGGACTCGTCGATCACTTAGAAGTTAGAGAGTGTGAAATTTAATAACATCAACATGGCTTGACTTTTGCCGCTACCCTATCCCGTACTGTGAGGTAAGGCCTAAAGCGTCACAATGTTTAGACTTCCCATCTGTAGAACTATATGACATCATAATAGTGGTGTGCCTTTTAGAAGTCCACGTCCTGCAAACGTTCATACAGTAAAATGAGTTAGTGTTCGTAAAGGTAAAGGTATGATGGTTTCCGAAATTTAAAATATCAAGGAACATTTAGAGAAGCTGATTTCTTTCTGGGAATGTTACTTACAAATTCAGGAACATTTAGTGATCAAGTGGAGCCTGTTTCAGGCTTGAGGGCGAAGGAACTGCAACGCGTTATTTAGCCACTTTAAACATATAAGATGAGTTTTTGAAATTGGCAAACGGGTAAGTTTGCGAGAGGAGTAAAAAATCTGAAAACATCTCATCTGTTGCGCGGTAATCAGAACGATCATGGTCTTACATATAATCGATACTTCTGAACGACCAATCAAACTGCAGGAATCGCTTTTTGTCATGTTAGAATATTACAGAAATGTTTCATGGAATTACCATTTTTCCTCAGGTCACAACGTCAGGCTTGAGGAAGAAAACATTCAACTGAAAAAGGTAGCTGTTGATCAGAAATACAATAAGGTGAAATAGGGTTTAACGTTGCGTTCGAGATTATTTCAAACATATAGCGACGTGAATGAATGTGTTTGTGGACGCTCATACTGGTCTCGACTTGCGTACGGTTTTATTGTGTCGAGACAATGCCAATCGCCAGCAGGGTTACAAGTATTATCTTTTCCCTTGGTTGTGGCAGCACGCTGGCAGGGTCTAGAACACCAACCCCCCGCTCTCCAGTCAGATACTGTACTCCCCAGGGAGGCAGTAATAACACGTTGCTATGAAATCACAGAAAACGTATACATGAAATAAAAACAACATATTGTTCAAACAGTTTTAAAACAATACTGAAAAAAATCAAAATACTTAAAAACGACCGAGAGAGAAATCAGTTCAACAATCTTTTATTGAAAATATAGAAAATATTTTGAACAATAAAGGTAAACTTCTATAAATGAGTTCAATATTTTAAATGAATGAATTTCAGTTCCTGTGAACCAAGATGATGGTAACTTAATCCACCCATCTGAAAGTAAATAGCGGGACCCTAGTTCTGATACTGTCGACGTCATCGCAGAGTGATATGTCAACGAAACATGCGACCCGTGAAGATCCGGGGTGAAATAGGTCTTCAGCAATCCATGCTTGTCGTAAAAGGCGGCTATGCTTGTTGTAAGAGGCGATTAACGGGATCGGTCATACTCACTGACTTGGTTGATGCATGCGATCGTGTCCCAATTGTGTCGATCAATGCTCATGTTATCAATCACTGGATTGTCTGGTCCAGACTCGATTATTTACAGACCGCCGTCATACAGCTGGAATTTTGCTATTGCTGGAGTGCGGCGTTAAACAAAAAACAAATAAACAAACAACAAAACATGCAAATATTCCTTATTGTGAACATATTTCTTCTCAATCAATATGCTAAATTCTTAAGATCATTTTCTGAATAGTTGATTTCAAAGCAATAGCTCTTCTTGGTAAATCATTTATTTTGTATTATCAAACAGAGCTGATTCTTCCAACAGTATATGGGGCCGACTATTGGAATTTCTGGTATGACCTGAGGATTTGGTTTTTAAAAGTAATCTCTTATCGAAAACACTCGGAAAAAGTGGTCTAGGGTTTTACTAGATATGCTTGATCTTCTGCATAAAATGAGCTGTTTGTAAAAGTAATTGTTTGGCTTCTTCTTTCCAACATGAATGTTACCCCGTTTTCTACATTTCTTACATTGATATTTACTCCTGCTTTTGCACTTTTTGCATCCGTAGAGAATAGAGGAGCTGGAGAATTTCGACCGACGGTCTCTTGTTTCTGGGGACAGCGGCTTCCACAGTGAAACAAGCAGTCTGGCATCCTGGGGCAGGGGTCCAAGAGGTCACCATGATAAAGCGGGCCATTTTGGCAAGATAAAAGATAATCTTAAGAGGGTTTTCACTCTTGGACGGACAAAACAGAAAGGTAAGTGAATGTGTGAGATTAATATTATTACCACTACTTGTATTCCCATTCAAGCGATATGACAGAAGAACCACAAAATGTGCTCCTGGGGAATTAAACCTGAGGCTTCAGTATGACGAGAACAAGCTTCAACAAGTTGGCTACCCGGCCGCCCTTCTGTGACCACCAGAGAAAATATGTAGTGCATAATATACTACCATAAAACTACATATACGGAATGGTGATACTTACTGTGCCTATGGCACCATAGTGTGCCTTTAAAGTACAACTATGCATATCATTCCCTGGATAGCTCTATGTTGTATTTCCGACAAACAACATAGTACAGGAGTGGCACAACACTGGTGGAGGTGCTAGGAGACAATAGGACTAAACTGGCAATACATAAGAAGGCGATACTGGACTATGACCTTGTGTTGATAATAAGGAGGATACACAGGATTGTCTTACACTAAATAGGCATTGATATGTCATGTAGAATGTAACTTTGGTATGAAAGGGGAGCTTATCTCCAGGGTGGCGGTGAGACGTAGACTTGGAAACACGGACTACACTGGGCGCTTATCTATTTTACTTTTTGCATTGCAGATGAAGTTGCCCTCCATACCTCAGTCCTGTGGGTTGGAAATGAAGGTGAGCAACAGATCTCAAAAGCTACACAGAACCAGGTCATGGAAAAGCTGGGATAAGTAAATGGGCATTCAAAATCATCATCTATAAGTTTGCTTCCCATGATAGGGGGAGGTAATCTTCACTATTTAGATTGACGGTGACAGGGATCAAAGTACTATATTGGGAGCAGGGGGCCAGTGTGAGGTAAGATATCCCTGGGTCACATTGGACCTTCTTCCTATGTGGTCAGCTGATGTACAGGGGTGACGTGAAAGGGGGCGAAGGGCACTGAGGTTGCACAGGGAGCAAGTGTATATGGTGAGGAGCGAGCGAGACTCGGGGCATATGCAATACAGTGGGATCTGATCCACAGGGTGGAGGATCTACAAGTCGGAAGGCTACACCGCCGCCCACAAGAGTGAGTGAGTGAGTGAGTGAGTTGGGTTTAACGCCGCTTTTAACATTATTCCAGTTATATCACTACGTGTCAGCTTAATGTGGGAGGAAAGCTCGAAGTGATGCAGGTCTCAGACGTTTACCACTTCGGTGAAACCCACGAGCACAGATATGGTGCTGACAAACCTAGAAACATAATCGGGGCGAACCGGGATTCGAACCCACAAACATAGGTTTCTGGTGTGTCCAAGCGACGCAACACTGCACAGCGAATGTCGAATCGCAGCGCATTCTGGGCCACGCGTGGCACACACCCCCACCCCCCAGCAAAGGTTTGCTGCACCAACACATGGACGACCAGCCCGTGGCGAGTAATGAGAATTGCCCTGCTGTAGATAACGTCTGTAAAAAAGGTGATATTATATTTCGATATACATCAACTTTTAGATATGCTTGAAGCGCACAATAGAGGTTTCAGTTCAGCCAATGAGGGCGAGCTTAAAAAGGTGAATCTTAATTGGCGCTTAAAAATCTGGAAAGTTGGGGAAACTCTACATTTTAGTGGGCGATTGTTCCATCAGCAGAGGAGAAGGTCTTTACTTGTGGTAAACACATACGTGTATGGTATGAGTGGCAGAATGCTAGTTGGTTGAAATGAAGTGAGTGCGTATTTGGTAAGTTATTTATTTGTAAATAGATTATTAATTCTATCTGGCTTTGTTATTCCCTGTTGTGACCCTCTTCATGCAGATACAGACCTCCATTTTGCCTGCAAGAAGGGTGACCTGAACCGGCTCAGACACATCTTATCGAAGAGTCTGGTAGACCTCAACAGAAGGGGCCAGTGCGGGAGGACACCCGTGATGATGGCAGCGGAGGAGGGACATAGACAAGTGTTTGACTTACTTGTGAAAGAAGGGGCTGATGTATCATTAATGGATGATAACAGACACAACATCCTTCATGTGGCCTGTCTTGGAGGACATGTGGACATGGTGAAGAATGTCCTCTCACGGAAGGTTGCAGACATCAACAGTAGGGGGAAGTACGGGAGGACACCCCTGATGGTGGCAGCAGAGAATGGACACAGACAAGTGTTTGACTTACTTGTGAGAGAAGGAGATGATGTATCATTAGAGGATGATGATGGAGACAACATCCTTCATGTGGCCTGTCTTGGAGGACATGTGGACATGGTGAAGTATGTCCTCTCACTGAAGGTTGCAGACATCAACAGTAGGGGCCATTACGGGATGACACCCCTGATGGTGGCAGCAGTGAATGGACACAGACAAGTGTTTGACTTACTTGTAACACGAGGAGCTGGTGTATCATTAGTGGATGATGGCAGAAACAACATCCTTCATGTGGCCTGTCTTGGAGGACATGTAGACATGGTGAAGTATGTGCTCTCACAGAAGGTTACAGACATCAACAGTAGGGGTCCATACGGGCGGACACCCCTGATGGTGGCAGCAGTGAATGGACATAGACAAGTGTTTGACTTACTTGTGACACAAGGAGCTGATGTATCATTAGAGGATGATGGCAGAAACAACATCCTTCATGTGGCCTGTCTTGGAGGACATGTAGACATGGTGAAGTATGTCCTCTCACAGAAGACTGCAGACATCAACAGTAGGGGGCAGTACGGGCGGACACTCCTGATGTTGGCAGTCAGCGCGGGACACAGACAAGTTTTTGACTTACTTGTGAGAGAAGGAGCTGATGTATCATTAGAGGATGATGACGGAGACAACATCCTTCATATGGCCTGTCTTGGAGGGCATGTACACATGGTGAAGTATGTCCTCACACAGAAGGTTGCATTCATCAACGGTAGGGGACAGCACGGGAGGACACCCATGATGATAGCAGCAGAGAATGGACACAGACAAGTTTTTGACTTACTTGTGACAGAAGGAGCTGATGTATACTTACTGGATAGTGACGGAGACAACATCCTTCATGTGGCCTGTCTTGGAGGACATGTGGACATGGTGAAGTATGTCCTCTCACAGAAGATTGCAGACATCAACAGTAGGGGGCAGTACGGGGAGACACCCCTCATGAAGGCAGCAGAGAAGGGACACAGACAAGTGTTTAACTTACTTGTAACACGAGGAGCTGGTAAATCATTAGTGGATGATGGCAGAAACAGCATCCTCCATGTGGCCTGTCTTGGAGGACATGTAGACATAGTGAAGTATGTGCTCTTACAGAAGGTTACAGACATCAACAGTAGGGGGCAGTACGGGCGGACACCCCTGATGGTGGCAGCAGTGAAGGGACACAGACAAGTGTTTGACTTACTTGTGACACATGGAGCCGATGTAACGTTAGTGGATGATGGCAGAAACAACATCCTCCATGTGGCCTGTCTTGGGGGATATGTGGACATGGTAAAGTATGTCCTCTCACAGAAGACTGCAGACATCAACAGTAGGGGGCAGTACGGGGAGACACCCCTGATGAAGGCAGCAGAGAAGGGACACAGACAAGTGTTTGACTTACTTGTAACACGAGGAGTTGTTGTATCATTAGTGGATGAACTCAGAAACAGCATCCTCCATGTGGCCTGTCTTGGAGGACATGTAGACATAGTGAAGTATGTGCTCTCACAGAAGGTTACAGACATCAACAGTAGGGGGCAGTATGGGCGGACACCCCTGATTGTGGCAGCAATGAAGGGACACAGACAAGTGTTTGACTTACTTGTGACAGAAGGAGCTGATGTAACATTAGTGGATGATGGCAGAAGCAACATCCTCCATGTTGCCTGTCTTGGAGGACATGTAGACATGGTGAAGCATGTCCTCTCACAGAAGGTTACAGACATCAACAGTAGGGGGCAGTACGGGCGGACACCCCTGATGGTGGCAGCAGTGAATGGACACAGACAAGTGTTTGACTTACTTGTGACACAAGGAGCTGATGTAACGTTAGTGGATGGTGGCAGAAACAACATCCTCCATGTTGCCTGTCTTGGAGGACATGTGGACATGGTAAAATATGTCCTCTCACAGAAGATTGCAGAAATCAACAGTAGGGGGAAGCACGGGAGGACACCCCTGATGGTGGCAGCAGAGAAGGGACACAGACAAGTGTTTGACTTACTTGTAACACGAGGAGCTGGTGTATCATTAGTGGATCAACTCAGAAACAACATCCTCCATGTGGCCTGTCTTGGAGGACATGTAGACATGGTGAAGTATGTGCTCTCACAGAAGGTTACAGACATCAACAGTAGGGGGCGGTACGGGCGGACACCCGTGATGGTGGCAGCAGAGAAGGGACACAGACAAGTGTTTGACTTACTTGTGACACAAGGAGCTGATGTAACATTAGTGGATGATGGCAGAAACAACATCCTCCATGTTGCCTGTCTTGGAGGTTATGTGGACATGATAAAGTATGTCCTCTCACAGAAGACTGTAGACATCAACAGTAGGGGGGAGTACGGGGAGATACCCCTGATGAAGGCAGCAGAGAAGGGACACAGACAAGTGTTTGGCTTACTTGTGACAGAAGGAGCTGATGTATACTTAGTGGATAGTGACGGAGACAACATCCTCCATGTGGCCTGTGTTGCAGGACATGTGGACATGGTAAAATATGTCCTCTCACAGAAGATTGTAGACATCAACAGTAGGGGGAAGCACGGAAGGACACCCCTGATGGTGGCAGCAGTGAAGGGACACAGACAAGTGTTTGACTTACTTGTGACACAAGGAGCTGATGTAACGTTAGTGGATGATGGCAGAAACAACATCCTCCATGTGGCCTGTCTTGGGGGATATGTGGACATGGTAAAGTATGTCCTCTCACAGAAGACTGCAGAAATCAACAGTAGGGGGCGGTACGGGGAGACACCCCTCATGAAGGCAGCAGAAAAGGGACACAGACAAGTGTTTGACTTACTTGTAACACGAGGAGCCGGTGTATCATTAGTGGATGAACTCAGAAACAGCATCCTCCATGTGGCCTGTCTTGGAGGACATGTAGACATAGTGAAGTATGTCCTCTCACAGAAGACTGCAGACATCAACAGTAGGGGGCAGTACGGGCGGACACCCCTGATGGTGGCAGCAGTGAATGGACACAGACAAGTGTTTGGCTTACTTGTGACACAAGGAGCTGATGTAACATTAGTGGATGATGGCAGAAGTAACATCCTCCATGTTGCCTGTCTTGGAGGACATGTGGACATGGTGAAGCATGTCCTCTCACAGAAGGTTACAGACATCAACAGTAGGGGGCAGTACGTGCGGACACCCCTGATGGTGGCAGCAGTGAATGGACACAGACAAGTGTTTGACTTACTTGTGACACAAGGAGCTGATGTAACATTAGTGGATGATGGCAGAAACAACATCCTTCATGTGGCATGTCTTGGAGGACATGTTGACATGGTAAAATATGTCCTCTCACAGAAGGTTGCAGACATCAACAGTAAGGGGCAGTTGGGGGAGACACCCCTGATGGTGGCAGCAGAGAAGGGACACAGACAAGTGTTTGACTTACTTGTAACACGAGGAGCTGGTGTATCATTAGTGGATCAACTCAGAAACAACATCCTCCATGTGGCCTGTCTTGGAGGACATGTAGACATGGTGAAGTATGTGCTCTCACAGAAGGTTACAGACATCAACAGTAGGGGGCGGTACGGGCGGACACCCGTGATGGTGGCAGCAGAGAAAGGACACAGACAAGTGTTTGACTTACTTGTGACACAAGGAGCTGATGTATCATTAGTGGATGATGGCAGAAACAACATCCTCCATGTTACCTGTCTTGGAGGACATGTGGACATGGTGAAGTATGTCCTCTCACAGAAGATTGCAGACATCAACAGTAGGGGGCAGCACGGGAGGACACCCCTGATGGTGGCAGCAGAGAATGGACACAGACAAGTGTTTGACTTACTTGTAACACAAGGAGCTGATATATACTTAGTGGATAGTGACGGAGACAACAACCTTCATGTGGCCTGTGTTGGAGGACATGTGGACATGGTGAAGTATGTCCTGTCACAGAAGGTTGCAGACATCAACAGTAGGGGGAAGCACGGGAGGACACCCGTGATGGTGGCAGCAGAGAATGGACACAGACAAGTGTTTGACTTACTTGTAACACGAGGAGCTGGTGTATCATTAGTGGATGAACTCAGAAACAGCATCCTCCATGTGGCCTGTCTTGGAGGACATGTAGACATAGTGAAGTATGTCCTCTCACAGAAGGTTGCAGACATCAACAGTAGGGGGCAGTACGGGGAGACACCCCTCATGAAGGCAGCAGAGAAGGGACACAGACAAGTGTTTGACTTACTTGTAACACGAGGAGCTGGTGTGTCATTGGTGGATGAACTCAGAAACAGCATCCTCCATGTGGCCTGTCTTGGGGGACATGTAGACATAGTGAAGTATGTCCTCTCACAGAATGTTGCAGACATCAACAGTAGGGGGCGGTACGGGCGGACACCCCTGATGGTGGCAGCAGAGAATGGACACAGACAAGTGTTTGACTTACTTGTGAGAGAAGGAGCTGATGTAACATTAGTGGATGATGGCAGAAACAACATCCTGCATGTGGCCTGTCTTGGAGGACATGTAGACGTGGTGAAGTATGTGCTCTCACAGAAGGTTACAGACATCAACAGCAGGAGGCAGTACGGGCGGACACCCCTGATGGTTGCAGCAGTGAAGGGACACAGACAAGTGTTTGACTTACTTGTGACACAAGGAGCTGATGTAACATTAGTGGATGATGGCAGAAACAACATCCTCCATGTTGCCTGTCTTGGAGGACATGTGGACATGGTGAAATATGTCCTCTCACAGAAGATTGTAGACATCAACAGTAGGGGGAAGCACGGGAGGACACCCTTGATGGTGGCAGCAGAGAATGGACACAGACAAGTGTTTGACTTACTTGTAACACGAGGAGCTGGTGTATCATTAGTGGATCAACTCAGAAACAACATCCTCCATGTGGCCTGTCTTGGAGGACATGTAGACATGGCTAAGTATATTGTGTCACAGAAAGTTACAGACATCAACAGCAGGGAGCAGTGCGGGCGGACACCCCTGATGGTGGCAGCAGAGAATGGACACAGACAAGTTTTTGACTTACTTGTGACAGAATCAGCTGATGTAACATTAGTGGATGATGACGGAGACAACATCCTTCATGTGACCTGTGTTGGAGGACATGTGGACATGGTAAAGTATGTCCTCTCACAGAAGATTGCAGACATCAACAGTAGGGGGCAGTACGGGGGGACACCCCTGATGAAGGCAGCAGAGATGGGACACAGACAAGTGTTTGACTTACTTGTAACACAAGGAGCTGATGTAACATTAGGGGATGATGACGGAGACAACATCCTTCATGTGGCCTGTGTTGGAGGACATGTAGACATAGTGAAGTATGTCCTGTCACAGAAGGTTGCAGACATCAACAGTAGGGGGAGGTACGGGAGGACACCCCTGATGGTGGCAGCAGGGTGGAGACACAGACAAGTGTTTGACTTACTTGTGACAGAAGGAGCTGATGTAGCCTCGGTGGATGATGGCGGAGACAACATCCTTCATGTGGCCTGTCTTGGAGGACATGTGGACATGGTGAAGTATGTCCTCTCACAGAAGATTGCAGACATCAACAGTAGGGGGCAGCACGGGAGGACACCCCTGATGGTGGCAGCAGAGAATGGACACAGACAAGTGTTTGACTTACTTGTGACACAAGGAGCTGATGTAGCCTTAGTGGATGATGGCAGAGACAACATCCTTCATGTGGCCTGTGTTGGAGGACATGTGGGCATGGTGAAGTATATCCTTTCACAGAAGGTTGCAGACATCAACAGTAGGGGCCAGTTTGGGTGGACGCCCCTGATGGTGGCAGCAGGGTGGAGACACAGACAAGTGTTTGACTTACTTGTGACAGAAGGAGCTGATGTATCATTAGTGGATGATAACGGAAGCAACATCCTTCATGTGGCCTGTCATGGAGGACATGTGGACATGGTGAAGTATGTCCTCTCACAGAAGGTTGTAGACATCAACAGTAGGGGGAAGTACGGGCGGACACCCTTGATGGTGGCAGCAGAGGAGGGACAAAGACAAGTGTTTGACTTACTTGTCAGAGAAGGAGCTGATGTATTATTAGTTGATGATAACAGAAGCAACATTCTTCATGTGGCTTCTCTTGGAGGAGATGCAGACATGGGGAAGCATGTCCAAGCATTGAATGTGGTGAACATCGACGACAGAAATGACCATGATGATATAGTGTGTGGCCTCATGGTTGCAACACAGGGTAGCAGTCATGTCTGACACGGAAGAACAAATAGTGACATAGTACTAGTTTGTGTGTGTCTGATTTCCTGTCAAAGAGAAAATATATTGCATCGTTCTATCATGACGTCATTTCTGCACATTCGAACTTACGCTCGCATCATAAATTGGACAACGTTATTTTTTAAGGAAGTGTCTCGTGCGTTGTTCCCCTTAGATGCTGTTGGACAACGCAGATAAACGCTATGATCGAATGATTGCATCCAAATATGGGCGAGACATATAAAGGGACTTATCAGGCCAGTCCTATGTCCGTCTGCCTCCGCGTCGGAGATAATCGGTGACAACCTGGATATGATATAACCTGGTATTGTCATCTAGCAGTTCAGACTTGTTGCAGATATATCCAGCTAATGGAACAATATTGTTTGGAAATGTCCATTGACAATAATCAAATCTGTTCCCATGTCATGTGTGATACCGCCCTACACCATGCCAACACCATCCCCATGCCAATCAAATGTCGTGTCATCCGTGCGAATGAATAGTTATGTAAAGGGTACACGTCTAGTGTCAGATGTGGATCTTGCAGTGGAGCGCTAGAACGCCACAGACCACCACTACACCTTAGACCAAGGTTGGGTGCAACTACTTCATACTTTTTAACATTCATGGATTGTAAATCCATGTAGCTTATTTAACATTAAACATTGAATGTGTGGTACATACTTGAATTATGTTGTTTAGCATATTGTATATTGCAAATGTAAATATGGAGTAAAATTGACAATAAGGGTTTTAAAAAAAATTATTTAGCTATTACTATTATTATTAATGGTAGCTGTATGAACATATACACCAGTATGTATACAGTGTATTTAGACGAGTTCTAATTACTTTGAAGTAGTAGTGTTTGATGTGACTCCCAGCAACATCTGAACCATCTGATCCAGTGACAACTAGATGTGTAGCTGGGAGAACGTCGCTTGGAGAACGTCTGAAGGGAGGCAGGCATGACCTACCACACGGTTGCTGTGGTCAGTGTAGATGTTGCCTTCAAAGTGTTGTATCAGAGTGTAGTGAGTGAATGTAGTTTTGATAGTGTAGTGTTTGTTTCGGTGTTGTTTATTGCCGCACTCAGCAGTAATCCAGCTATATGACGGCGGTCAGTAAATAATCGACTCTGGACCAGACGATCCAGTGACTGACATCATGAGCATTGATCTATTGGGATAAGATGACATGCATCAACCAAGTCACAGGTCGAGCGTGTAGTGAGTGAATGCAGTGTTCACTGATGAACTGTGGTCATCAAATATAATACATTGACTGAGGTCAATTCAACATTCCCATTGTTTGTCGTGGAGGACAATTTTCAAGTGACTATCTGTTGTCTTTAACATTCCAAGTGTGTCGTGAAAGACCGGAACTATATTTTATAGTTGGACAATGCCCTTACACATGTCAGTTATCACTATACGATTGTGATGTGAAATAAGATGTGATGTGTTTTATACCTGAACCTTTGATATTGCATTGTGTGTATATGTAATTGTAGTTGATTTGCTGTAGTATAGCACAACGATGGCTGTTGTACCAACATTAGTAGTGGTAGCAGTATTAATTGTAGTGGACATAAGTTTAGTTGTTGTGTTGTAGTAGAAGCAGTGGTTGTGGGACAGTGTTACAGTTTACTAGTAGAGTAAGGTAGCATTAGTAGGAGTAATTCGTAGATATGTATGTATCTTTTCTCTTTGGAATAAATGTTTAAAAAATTTCTTTTGGGGTTTTGTCATTTCTACGTCCTCTTGTGAATACCGTGTAACACTACCCTTTCTTTATATGTAATGGTAGAATAATTGCACTAGCCCAAGCATGTGGACACTGACCTTTCTATATTGTTATCAGTGGTCCATTCACAAATGTTGTACAGATATTTTGCCCTTTACGCAAAGTGGATTCTGTTTTGATGGATATTCTAGACTGTCAATTTATGTTTCACCATTGGCTCGGAAGCATTTATCAATGCTGAGTCAAATACAAAAGAAATGTCTAGACCGAGATATTAAAACTGTCAGTGACAACTGAACTATCTGACCCTGAGCCAACTGAAAAATCGGATCGAGTGACAAGTGAACCATCAGATCCTGAGACAACTGAACCATCTGATCCAGTGACAACTGAACCATCTGATCCTGTGACAACTGAACCACCTGAACCTGTGACGACGGACCATCTGATCCTGAGACAACTGGACAATCTGATCCTGAGACAACTGAACCATCTGATCCTGAGACAACTGAACAATCTGATCCAGTGACAACTGAACCATCTGATCCTGAGACAGCTGAACCATCTGTTTCAGTGACAACAGAACCATCTGATCCTGTGACAACTGAACCATCTGATCCTGAGGCAACTGAACCACCTGATCCTAAGACGACTGAACCATCTGATCCTGAGACAAATGAACCATCTGATCCAGTGACAACTGAACCATCTGATCCAGTGAAAACTGAACCATCTGATCCTTTGACAGATGAACCATCTGATCCCTTGACAACTGAACCATCTGATCCAGTGTCAACTGAACCATCAGATCCTGTGACAGATGAACCATCTGATCCTGTGACATCTGATTCATCTGATCCTGTGACAACTGAACGTTCTTATCCTGAGCCCACTGAACCTTCTTATCCTGAGATCAATGAGCTTGACTAGAGACAGGAAGAGATTAAAGTGCAGCGATCTTGTGCCAAAGCAGAGCTCAGGTGTTACTGCAGTGCGCATGATGAAGAGTCGCATTACATTAATTGCAGGTGCAACAAATTGCAGGTGTTGTTTTACCTATACCACAGGTAGCAGAGGAGACCTATCCTGGACAGGAATGAAAATGATCAATACACCTTTGCAACAAAAGGTTGTATCCTGAACAACATGTTGAACAACAGGGACACACGTGCCTCACTCAGATAAGCACTGACACATTTATCCATTTGTGGTGGATAAGGTGAGTTTTAACAGTATTCCAGTTATATCAAGATGTGTCAGCTTAATGTGGGAGGAATGCCCGAAGTGATGCAGTTCTCAGACGTTTACGACTTAGGTGAAACCAACGAGCACGGATATGGTGCTGACAAATCTAGAAACATAATCGGGGTGAACCGGGATTCGAACCCACAATCATAGGTTTCTGGCGTGCCCAAGGGACGCAACTCTGCACAGCTAATCGCGGCGCTAAAGACGACCGTGCCCCCTTGTGGTGGATAAGGCTTTGTCAAACGTTGCTGCAGTGGAACCAAGAAGTGTCGGACACACAGATGCAAGTGTCACAAAGCAAACCTGAAACGCAACAGCTGTTGTCACTGTAGTTTGAACTCCAATAACAAATAACTACTTGATACCTCTCTGATCACCATCTCCTGAATTGTTCCAACAGAAGATGTGAAACTTGCTGATCATAATAATTTTTCACATAATGGTTCAAGATAACAGTTGACAGGGACAATCGTTTCATGAAATAAATTAACATTCTAGTCGTGTCATGAAATGTTTGCCTTTAATTTTAGCCATTTCATGAAATGACTAGAATGTTAATTCATTTCATGAAACGATTGTCCCTTTCAAGCAGTTCATGAAATGACGGAACTTTTCATGCATTTCACGAAATGACTGGTTTCTCAATCTGTCTGTAACAAATACACATCAATGAATTCATTAAAATAAACATTCACCGAATGATGTAACCCTAAAACGTATAATAAAGATGTTCTTAATTCTCCTGTCACAATCCTTCTTATGGTCAGACATTATTTCATTATATAATCATCTCATTGTGGTTTCCACCTAATCTCTAAACCCGCTCAGGTCCGGGTTAGAATTGCATTGGACTTCAGCAACCCATACTTGCCGTAAAAGGCGACTAACGGGGTCGGGAGGACAGGCTCGCTGACTTGGTTGATGCATGACATCATATCCCAATTGCGTGGATCGATACTCATGATGCCAATCACTGGATTGTCTGGTCCAGACTCGATTGTGTGACGGGTCTCCGCCCGCACGGGCCAGTTCTGTAGTTTGTTCGAAAGAGCCGCTGGGACAAGGCATGCTGAGTTGGAAGGTGAGCCACAGAGTGGGTAACAGTTGCTGTAGATTTCCTATACGGAGAAAACCTGTAAAACCTGGATCGCTTCTTCTCAATTTTCTTAACGGCTTTGGCTTCAGCTCGGATCATCCTTCTTTCATCGTCGGAATTGTAGCCAGCTCATTGTTCTCACATTGACGCACTTTCCCACCCAGCTTCTGACGTATGTGCTTGTTTGATGTGCTTATTTCTTCTTTCAATGCGTGAATTCTCAGTACCGATCAGCTAGTGAAGATACTCCCCTTTTCTATAGTAAAAAACCCGTGAAGATTCCGGGGTAGAATTGTAACCAGGAGTTGCACACCCGGTTATAATTATCTATAAATACGTAAATTAAATGCAAGTATTTTGATGTACATGAATTATATATTACTATGAAATTGTTAACTTCACTATGAGATGAAATGACTCACGTTGTATACCTATATGTATGAGGAGCGCAGGTGGCGGCCAATTATATTTAATTAATTGGTTTTCCATAAAGGATGACAGGGTACACAGTACCGGGATCTCAGAGTCATGTAAAGAGTTAAGGTTGTCACGAGTCAACCAAGATGATTAAGGGGTATTAGTGGGTAGCATTAAACTATACGAATTGTACAAGGGAGGGAACCAGTTTTACTCTTGTAATTGGAAGCTAGATCATATATTAAAGACTTAATAGATATGGTAAACCTGAAGGTACGAGGTCAGAACCTCGGATAAGTCACAAAGAAGCTGGGTACTACTCAATCTTCATAACAGACTCACGTGTTGGTCAAACCTCATGACGTCATAGTAATTTATCATTTGAAAAGTGTAAGGATAAAAGGGGGTGGGAAATCATGATTCGGGGAGATCGGTTTGCGGGACGCAGGTAGCTAGGTCAGAGGTCACTGCGCTCCTAAGTAATTCAGATTGCTGCCAGTACGTTTGTGCGGTATCTGTTTTACATTCTCCAAACCTATTTTAAATTAAACTCATCGTATCTCGAAAACAAGTCGTTGTGTTCCTACTGTGGTGACTCCTGATTGTGAAGATCAAGAAAAAGGATCCAGGTTACAAGCTAGACAGATCACGAGCCGAAATTTTATGGTGCCGAGACCCGGATCTTGGAAAACAAATCTCCAACCAGGAGCACCCAGGAACCGAAAGACAATTAGGGAACTTCTCAAGGTAAGTTTTACCCTGAATGACTCAATTTGTTCTGCTAGCACATAGTGAATAGATATTAGTTGCGAAGAATTAAGTTAGGAAAAGATACAGACGTAAGAAAAACTAAAGGAAGGTAGTTGATGGAAGTGGAATGAACTCTGAACTCAGGAATCCTACGTCAGAAGCTAATAAACTACATAGATTTGCGGCGCAGGTCGGAATAGTGTGCAGATTTAGTGCAGAATTAATAGAAAACGATATTAGGGAGTGGGTACACTTGTCCCCGGTACTGCGGAATTGGATAGGAAGACAAAAAATCGAGGGTACGGATAAAGAACACAATTCTCCGGACCATATAATAGCTGTGTACATAACCTTTTTAAGGAAGAAGAAGGCAAAAGAAAACGCAGAAAAAGAACAACGGAGATTAGTAAATATTCAAAGACGGAGGGAGAGGTATTTAGCGGGTTTAAGGAGGAAGTAAGAGGAGATTAAGGCCAGATAGAAAACTTTAGATTAGGAAATGTGAGTAGGATAGTATAATGAACGCCCACCCCCTATCATGGGACGCAGCAGAAGAAATAGCTAGAGTTAGCCCGGTTAGCGCTGCAACAATAGAAAGAGATTTAGGGAATTTAGTAGGAAGATCCCGACTACTACAGTCTTGGATAGTGTTCCAGAAAAGTTGTGGCACGGAGAACCAAGATAATTCTTCCGCCCTGATTATCTCGGTATATTATTTTCTAAAACACAGGAGAAGGGTAGAAGAAGTACTGATTAGGGAAAGATACAGACGAGAGGTAATGAGAAGAGGAAGAGGTAAAAGATTACCTCGAGGATAGGATAAAGGGTACATGTAAATAAAATGGTAAATTAAGCAAGTGAGGATTTAAAATAAGTAAACAAAATTAGGATGGCAGAGGGAGATGAAAGGATACCTGATCTCCCAGCAGATTTAGTAGCTACCCATCTAACCAGGGTAGAGAAGGCTATCCAGGCACAGGGATTGCCACAACAAGTGCGAAACTTTTCGGGGGAGGGGTACAAACGATTTACTGACTGGATAAAGGAAGTAGAAAAGGCCTGCATTTCAGTTAGCGCTCCCGACCAGGCTAAATGCACCTTAGCCATACAGACCGCAGTAGGGCCAGCCGCAGATTTCCTAGTAAGGAAAGTTAGGGAAAATCCTAATATCCCCTGGGAAAACTTAAAGACGGCGTTAAAAGAAAGGTTTAGTGACTTGAGTGACGTGCAATACGCACAACAGAAACTCAAGAAACTGAAACAAGCCTCGGGGGAGGTAGTGCAGAGCTATGCCGACAGACTCATGTCTCTGGCTGATGAATGCTATAGTGCGGCAGAACAGAATTCCCCCATAATTCAAGGAATATTGGTAGATATATTTGTAGATGGTCTCCGAGAAGACCATGTGGCAAGGAGATTAATTAGGGAGCGACCGACAGATCTAAGGGATGCTATGAGGAAGGCTTCTTATGAACAGCAGGCTTCCAGGACATACAATTTAAGGCGACATAGGGAGGAAACCCCTATGGAAGTGGATTCCGCAGATAAGGACCACAAATATGAAGCCTTACGAAGGCAGACAGAGGCTCTGGCTCATCAGACAGAAGTACTGGCTCAGAGTATGGAGCGTATGATGTCAGTAAACGTAGCCCAGTCTAACTCTAGACGACAGGCGGAGACCCCACGTCCAGCTGACAGGCAGCCGATGGGCCAGCCCCCGAGACAGCCCAGTGGACCCAGAGGGAGGGGTGCAGGTGGTTCACCTTGGCATTCCGACACAAGACGAACCAGTAATATACCCAGTGGTTCGAGGCCGGCAAATTTCCGGGGTTATACGGACAAACCGAGTTTTCGGGGGTATACGAATAAACCGGGATATGAATGGGCTCCAGACGGATCGCCCATATGTAACCACTGCGGGGTAGTGGGTCACACTCAAAGGAGGTGTAGAACCAGACAGTACACTTACGACGGACCGAATCAGGGAAACTATTAAACCCTGTAGGCGATGACCGTAGTCACGCAGGGGCTAAGGACACGGTTAAGGAGATGACAGGCGACGTGCAAGGAGGATTAACCACTGAAGTATCGATAGGTCGGGTACGAGTAGACGCTTTAGTAGATACTGGGGCAGACCTTAGTATAATCAACAAAGAAGTGTTTGATTCAATACACCAGAAGAAAATATCAGTTTACCAAACTGACCCCATTTCATTGGTACCGATGATAGGAGTTTCGGGGAAAAATTTAAACGTGGTAGCCAAAGCTAAGATTGAAATAGTTTTGGGTATGTCAAAATTTAACGTGAATGTACAAGTTATTGAAGGGTTAAGGAAAAAGATGATTTTAGGAAATGATTTTCTGACAGGCTTTGGAGCTATGATAGATTTTAATAGGAAGACTCTAGCAATACAAGGAG